AAAGAGAGGGGATCCCAAAAAAGGAGTCTTACAGCTCCAAAATATTTCTGTCTTGACTTAGCTGTGCCACAATAGTATTTCCACATCCTGTGTGAAAGCAGTAGGTATGGGAGTAGAATAGCTCTGCTTCATATGAACAGAAGTTGCTTAGGTCATATTAACATACCTTGCTTAGAAACTGTTAAGTGATTTTCTCCAAATTGCGTTTGATCATTCTTCATGTTCTTGCTTTATAAAATTCTCATGAATCTTTGGTTCAAAGACAAGACAGGCAATGCACATCATACTTAGTTGGTTTGTCCTCCTTGGCTTTGAAAGTGAGAAGGCCATGGTTGTGGTCTAGATTGATTGTTGATAAAAGTAGGGTGATCGGTGCCTTTGTTTCTTACCCGTATAAGCTCGGACTAAAATGCCTTATGCTTAAACTGTTCTCCATATTCCAGAGTGACACGGTGAAAATAAATGAAAGAGAAAACGTAAAAGTGTTTTGGAGAGTGACTTGGTCATTTCACAAGGCCTTCTAAGACCCAGAGAGAGGGAATTCAATGCTGAGAAAGGCTGCTGTTCCACCTTGGATATCTTTAAAGTTCTTACACTGAAGCTGTGATCTGTTCCCTTATTCTTTTCTCTCTTTAGTCCTATTTTGTGCTCTGGAGCCTCTTTCGTCTTTCACGGAGCAAGTTTTACATATTTGAAGGTAGTTACATTTTGTGAAACTTTCATTTAGTGTTCAAGTGTTTTAAGAAAATCATAAACCAGGGCACCTGGAAGGCTCATTCAACCTAGCTTCCAACTCTTGCTGTGGCTCAGGTCATGAACTCAGGGTCCTGGGACCGAGCCCCCATTGGGGTCCACGTTCAGTGCAGAGTCTGCTTGAGGTTTTCACCCTCTCCTCCTCCCCTGCTCTCTCTCTCTCAAATAAATAAATAAATCCTTAAAAAAAAAGAAAATCATAAACCACGGTTAATACTGAACTTGTGTCTCAGACGAATAATAAACATTGCCTTCCAATGAAAACTCCTCTAGCTTAAATGCATATACTACTAGTTTTAGCAGCAATATCTTAGACATGTAAAATGAGTCAAATTGATGTCATTTTTTTAGACATTATTTCACAAATCTTACAGTCAGTAATTAAATCCGTTTTATAGAGTAGGAAGACCAGAGCACTGGCACCAGAGAGAGACACCGGTTTAACTTACGGTCTCTTCAGGTTTACGGCCATGGCAAGTTACTTACTTTCCTAGGCATCATTCCTTTATCTCAGAAGTGGAGAAAATAGTATGTATCTCTCTGAGTTTTGCCAAGGATCAAAGATAATGTGAGTAAAAAACGCAAAACAAATACGGTGAAACGCTCAACAGAAGGTGAAAGGGGTAAACAACGTCAACGTCTGTCAACACGGAGAGATGAGCGAAATTGAAAGTTGGAAGGAACACAGTGAAAACCAGAACAAGACGGATTGTACAGTAACATTTAGGTACGTTGATTCATGTGGAACTCACATAAAGCGACACCATCATTGGGCATGAAAGGTGGACTGAAACACACACTGCCTACATGGCGGAAGAGTTATGTGCCTTTGGATTGGTGGAAACTAGGACTTCACATGGGAAATGAAAGAGACTAATAATATAAACTAAATATATTAAAATAATAAAATTTATTTTTATTTTTTTAATTTAATTTTTTTCAGTGTTCCAAGACTCATTGTTTATGCACCACACCCAGTGCTCCATGCAATCTGTGCCCTCCTTAATACCCACCACCAGGCTCTTCCAACCCCCACCCCAAAACCCTCCGTTCGTTTCTCAGAGTCACAGTCTCTTAATACCTCCTTAATACCCAAAGTCCTCCTTAATACCCACCACCAGCCTCCCCCAACCCCTCCCCTCCAAAACCCTTCTTTTGTTTCTCAGAGTCCACAGTCCTCATGGTTTGTCTCCCCCCGCCCCCCGCCGATTTAAGAGTGTTAGACATGGATTAGTCATGCTGATTGCTCTAATTTTGTGCACTTGAGGTCCAAGAGGAAAAGAAGAGAAAAATACTGTTTAGCACAGGGCCTGCCATGTACCCAAAGCTCCGTACAAGCGGTTATTTTATTATCTGAGTATCCTGTTCCGTGGGGCTTTATTTGCATCAGTGTGACCGGTACTACTGAGCTCACCAACATTACCCGGGTAAGAATTGAGCCAATGGAGTCAAAAGACCAGAAAGAAACTATGAGAAGTAGAAAATGGAAAAAAAATATATCTTTTCATGATAGAGAATGATTGATACATAATCATCACAGCTATTTTTTATGGAGTAGTTACCATTTACTAGGCATTAATGAAGTCAACTAATACATGTTTACTGAGTGCTTATTGTGTTAGACACTGTTCTAGACATTCAAAATACAGCAGGAAATCAACAACTACAATGACGACAGCAAACCTGATGTTTTGGAGCTTATATTCTAACTAGGGAGAAAGGCAGTGAGTAAAACATACAATATGTTAAATGGTGGTAAGTCCTACAGAAGGAACAACAATGAATGGAGGGAAGGACCCTGTGGAGAGGGGGGTCAGGGAAGGATTCGCTCAGGGACATTGTTCCAAACCCACTTCATGTATTAACTCTTTTCATGAATCTTCCTGTTTTTGTTTTTGTTTTTTTTTTAAGATTTTATTTATTTATTTGCGAGAGAGAGACAGGGAGAGAGAGCACAAACAAGGCGGTGGGAGAGGGAGAAACAGGTTCCCCACTGAGCAGGGAGCTGATGTGGGGCTCGATCCCAACCCCAGGATCATGACCTGAGCGGAAGGCAGGCGCTTCACCGACTGAGCCAGGCAGGTGTCCCTTTAAAGAATCTTCTTAACATGCTGCGGAGAAGTTACTTTTGTAAACTATGACTGCTGTTTTCATATGATCAAACTGGAGCCCAGGGTCCCTCAGTATGGGATTTTGTAAGGTTTGATAACTGGCAAAGCCATAGGACAGGATCCAAATTTAGGCTACCCAGCTCTGGAGCTGTCCCCGTCTTTATGTATTGCCTCTCACACAGGGAGCTAGAAGGGGCCATGGGGGATCCATCAGAATGGGGAGCGGGAATGTGGTTTAGTAAAACATTAAATCAATACTATCACAGTGTCCATTTTATACTTTGAGAATCTAAAATAAGCATTTTTGCTTTGGTAAGAAACACTTAAGAAAGGGAAACAGGACAAAATCTTTCAGGGTGGTGGGTGGGTGTATCCAGAGGTTAAAAAGGGTGTGTCAGAGGGACGCCTGGGTGGCTCAGTTGGTTAAGCCGCTGCCTTCGGCTCAGGTCATGATCCCAGCTTCCCGAGATCGAGTCCCGCATCGGGCTCCTTGCTCGGCAGGGAGCCTGCTTCTCCCTCTGCCTCTGCCTGCCATTCTGTCTGCCTGCGCTCGCTCTCTCTCCCTCTCTGACAAATAAAAAAATTTAAAAAAAAAAGGGTGTGTCAGATATTCCCACTAAGAAATCTTGGTTTACTCTCACCCTTTTAATTAACTGCTACGGACCCAGGAACCTCAGTATTGCACATGGCTTGCACAACCTCAGTGGCTTGTTTGTTACAGAACCAGGATGGAGAACTGAGCTTGAAAGACAAAACAACCAGTACAACCTCAGTGACTAGGCTGGGCAAGCAGAGCCCCTGTGCCTCCCTGCGTGGCCCACTCCCACCAAGCCTGCTGGGCCGCATGGCTTCTCCTTTCCACTGCAGAGAGGCTCAGAGTGAATTACTGAGTCGGGGAGACCCATTTGCAGGAGTAAAGGAGAGAGTATAATTAGACGAAGAGAAGTGAAAGGAGGGGCAGATGAAGAAAATGAGGGGAGGAATCAGCCAAGAATAGGCAAGGTGAACTTGAAAATGACCGTTTCCAGGCCAGGAAGGAGGAGGAACAGGAAGAGGATGGAGTAGGGACAAAAAGGGTTCCTCTAGCTCAGCAATCCTAGTTATAGTCCTGTAGCGCAGGTATGAATCGTGCTGTTTTTTACATGTGGGAAAACCGAAGCCCAGAAAAGACACTTTACTTACTCAAGGTCATGTAGCTGCAGCAGAGTCTCCGGATGCTTCAATTTTTGCCTTTCTTCCCTTGTTTCCATCGTTCCTTCCCTTCAGTCTCTTTTATTTGTACAAGGTGAACTATTGAGGTTTTTACCCTTTTTCTAAAATAGTTATCAAGTATCCAATGATAGAGTATGTGGTTACCATGACAACACAGCCTTCACCGAGGACTGGCCTCCCCCTCGCCTCCAGAATCCTATTTCACAGCAGATTCCCTTCCCTTGTGGAACCTGTAAGAGCCGCAGTTTTAGACTTTGTTTGTGACCATCTGCTTCCCCTGTGTCCCCACGAGGCCGCCGTGAGCTTCAGCACCGCGGGGCCCGCCTGCTTTTGCGGGGAGCCTGCCCCGCGCTTTGCTCCACGGCTCGCACTCGGGCCCTGCGGAAAGACCCGCCCGGCAGACGTGCTGCGGACAGTCCTGGCGTCCTGCGCAGGTGCGCGGGCGGCGACCTGGGCTCCCGACTGCGTGAGCGGATACAGTGTAACGAGTCGGGCCGGTGTCTCCAGGGAGCACGCGGGCAAAGGAACACACACACGCATGACCTCACAAACAGCCCCGGGCGGGCGGACTCAGAAAGGGACGCGCGCCACCCGAGCGGCCGAACCCACGCGGGTAAACACGGCCGCGCTCGGCCCGGCTCGTCTACGCAGCGGGGGCGGGCACCCGGCGGCCGCGGTGGGCGGGAGTCCCGGGCGCCCCGCGGCGCGTGGGCGGGTCCCGGGCTCCCGAGGCGGTGGCGGCGTGGGCGGCGAGCCGCGCCGCGATTGGTCCGGGGCGGGGTGGGGCGGGGCCGGCGGCGGGAGGCGGGGCGGGGAGGGGCGGTAAACCGCGCCGCGATTGGTCCGGGGCGGCGCGGGGCCGGGCCGCGGCGGGAGGCGGGGCCTCGGGGCGAGGGGGTGTGCACGGCTGCTGAGGCCAAGGTTTCAGTATAAACAAGGCGCCCGGCGGGTCGGGCGGGTTTTTCTCTCCGTCTTCGCGCGCTGCGGCCGCCTGTTCTCGGGTCGCGCTGGTGGCGCGCGGCAAAGAGCCGGGAAGCCGAAGACCCGGGGTCCGTCCGCAGGTGGGTTGCTCCCGGCCAGGCGTCTCCCCGCGGGGCCCCGAGCCCGGCCCGGGAGTGTGCGGCGGCGCTGCGCTCTGCGCTGGGGGACCGCGCCCCGGCTGCCGGCGGCGCCTGGAGAGGCGGGAGCGTCGCGACCAGCAGGTGCTCCCCGCTCAAAGCGCCTGGCCGAGCTGGACGCGGGGGCTCCCCTGCGCGGCCGCCGAGGGCGCCGGAGGCTGCCCGGGAGCCGACCGGGGCCAACAGGTGCGGGGCCGGGCCGCCGGCAGGGACGGGCTCGGGCTTGGCTCTGCTTCTCTCGCCGCGATCGCGCCCCCAGGCTGCGGGTTGGAGGTCGTGGTAGGTCGAGGGTCGGCCCGAGTTCTGGCCGCGCGCGTCCGTTCCTGTCTCCGGTCCGCGGCGCTGCCGGCCGTTCCCTCCTGCTGCTCGGCTCGTTTCCGCGTGTGGGGGCGGGGGCGCTGCGCGCGGTCGGCAGGGCGCCCTGTGACACCCGATTCTTGGGAAAGGACGGGAAGCAGGAGTCGTGCGCTTGTCGCGACCAGGTGGTGTCCAGTCCCCCGTTCACCTGGCGAATTTGGGGCTCACCGGTGTCCTGGCTGTTGCCCGAGCTCAGGTGAGCCTCTGGAGACACCTGGCTGGGCTGCGGTGACGTGAGCCCGAGGGCCTGGGAGCCCCGCGGCCGCCGGCGCGGGGGCCCGGCTGTGTAGGGCCGCCACTGCAGCGCCGGCCGGGAGCGAGGGAGGAGGGCGCGGGGCGGGGGCTGCTGTGTGCACGCCTGTGCGCGGGTCGGGGGCTGCTGTGTCCACGCCTGTGCGCGCGTGTGGACGTCCGCTTCCCGTGAGCACTGCCCGAGCGCTGCTGTTTTGCACCTGACCGGGATCGAACCGACGCAGCTCCGGCTAAAGCGAGGGAGTCCGGCCTCTGACCGCGTACAGGGTGGTCCAGGTGGTGCGAAGAGCCGACGAGATCTCCAGGCAGCGACTTTCTCCTCCGGATGTGGAGGTGCCCACTTCGCTGATGAACCCGGTGTGTGTAGGTGAACATGCACACATTTGTGTATGTGTGTTTGGGTGTAGTGTGTCCCCAAGGAGCCCGCGGTCAGCAGCACCGTGTGACAGCGGTCGGAACCGCTGGTGCGCCGGGATCTATATTTAGCCCTGGATGAGCTCCAGAGGCCGAGGGAGGGTCTCTGAACTGGGTGCATAAAGCGGAAGAGCCTAGGGAGCAGGGTGTTGCGCTCTTGAATAATGTCTGGTCCAGTCAGACTCAGATGGGGTGAATAATGACTCTTTCCTCCTGAGAACAGCAGCCGAGCTTGGCATGTGATAGCCGCGTCTCAATTTGAAACATAGTTGCACGACTGTGGTAAAACCTGTGCTAACACACACGGAGGCTACAGTTCACCACAGTGATGCTTCATTGCAGATTAGGGAGGACTATAACTGATCAGATGAGGTTTGGGGGAAATACAGAATTGATTTTCAAAAAGCCATACAAATAAAAATTTTTGGTGGTTGCGATTTTCCTAACAGAATAAAAGAATGGCATCTTGTTAGAGCCTGTCATTAGTGCTTATTTTAATTTGGGGGGGGGACAGTGTTGGGCCACTTTTGACAGAAATCAGGGTTCGCAAGCATTGCTTTATTGTTCCTTTCAAGCAGATTTTCTGGCCAAGATGAAAAGATCAGCTCCTGATTAGCAAATTTCTTGTTGGCATCATTCCACTACATGTCGGTCAGTCCTTTGTTTTGCTGGAGGTGGCAACATTTCTGGCTCCTAAGCATACTGGCCTTGTACTTTCCAGCTCTCTAATGGGGTGCTATGTTAAATTCTTAGAATTTATTTCTCCCATGGCTCATTTTCTCTGACCCTACCACACCTGATACCTGAGATAACACTGTCTTTTGGAATACAAAATCACCAGAAAGCATCTACAATTATTGTCTTTTTTACCCCAGCTTAGCATCTAATCTAATCTATTCTTAGGTACATATTACTTAATGTTTCTAAAAATGTATTATTTATCATAATACACATTTCTTGAATTATTGGTAACATTACATTCTGATAATCTAAAATTAACCACCAGCTAATAAAGTACAATAGACCTTTTCAAAAAAATGACAACTGAATAATTCCTATCTAGGAAAAAGAAATGAAGGGGAGAAGCTGGGTGAGAATCTAGACGAGGTGTAAGATACCTAATAATGGCACAGGAAGTGAGGGAACCAACATTATCAATCTCCAAAGGCTACTTGGAAGAAGTGGACTTTGGAGAAGCAGTTTGGATGGCTCTAGCAACTCTCCCTGTGAGACAAGAGATGGGGAAAAGAAGGTATTCTCCTTTACCTAGAAAAGAACTTGGAATTCCCGAAGCAGGGATTGAGAATCTTGATTCTGATCTACAAATAATAAGTGGAAAAGACATTATAACATATCGTGAAGCCTGAAAGAGACAAATTACGCTGTTGAAAATACAGCTTAAGATGTATGGCATTTTTGTTGTTAGTGGTTCAATTTAGGCGTTACCTCCCCACCCCCTTCACTTTTCTAGAACTACAGTTGTCCTATTTTGGTTCTCCCATTAAACCTACTGAAAAAAATAGATCTATACCAACCCCGATTATCTTAAAATAACAGATATTATAGCCTCGTGCTATGGACAGATTTCTGCCCTGGGATTAGGGAGATGGGTTTGGAGCCCTAACAAGTCATTTGTTCTCTCCCTCTATCTGCAATGTCTGTGAAGTCGATGGGGTGTTGAACTAGGTGATTTATGAATCTCTTTTTGTTCTGTGACAACTGCTTTATTTTGGTGTACTATCACTTTGTGCATTTGTGCCCTAAATGGGATGGAAGATGAAGGATGAAGTATGTGCAGCTACTTTCTGGGTGTAGGGAAATGAAGAGAAGAGAGTAAAGTTTCTCTGTATTGATAAAAACTATGTAGAGATTCAATATTTTCTTGACCTCCTGTTTGCTTTTATTTTTCTTCTGTAAGTGTGCCAAAAATTACTATCAAGAAGGTTGAGTTGGAAATTTTTTTGACTTAAGTCAGTGCTACTATTTATGAAATTTTAAAAAAGATTTTATTTATTTGTTTGAGAGCAAGAGCCCAAGCACAAGGGGCAGAGGGAGAGAGTCTCAAGCAGACTCCCCACTGAGCATGGAGTCTGACATGGGGCTCGATCTCCTGACCTGAGCGGAAACCAAGAGTCAGATGCTTAACTGACTGAGCCACTCGGGTGTCCCACCATTTATGAAATTTTTAATCAGTCTTTGACCTATCATTTTTTCTGAGGTTTATATATTTACTATCCCATTTCAAGGTATGTCTTTATCTAGAAGTCATTCATTTGATTCAGGTTTTATTAGGAAGCCCTGGTACGAAAATCAGTTTCACGCAGGGAAAATACAAAATAGCCATGTAGGGAAGGAAAACCCTTTGCAGACCACCAGGATTGTTCTATTTATCGAAAAGCGAAGGACAGAGAGGGAGGGATAAGCTTAGTTTTTCAAGAACATGCAGCCAAAAATAAAATTATCCCAGGAACCATGTTCCATAATAAATGTAAATAGAAAATTCTGCTTGTTTACTACATGTCCTCACTAAGTATCAGGTCATTTTTCTGCTGAAATGAATTGGGTTTAGAAACATAAACCCTTTTCGAAATGATATGATCTGTAATTTGGCCTGAGAGCTATCGTACAGATGATTCTACACCTTCTATCTGTGTCGTCCGTGTGGTCGCCCCTAGCCACGTGGAGACCTGTAAACTTAAGTTTGACTAAATTAAACAAAATTAAGAATTGAGTTTCTTAGTTGTGCCTCCCATATTTTAAGCGCTTAATAGCTACTGGGCAGCTGATGGCGACTGTCCTGGACAGTGTAGAAGGGGACCATTTCCAATATCCCAGAAGGTTCGCTTTGACAGCACGTAATTAGATCAGGATGATTTTGATTAGCCAGAAGATCACTTTTGTCCCCTGGGAAAAAGAAGTAATTAATTCTCATTGTATTTGGGCACCTAAGTCCTACAACATAAGACCGATGGACTTTTTCAGCCAGTGTTTGTTTTCAGCTGTACAGCATGAACAGTGCCACTCTCCAAAGCTCAGTAATATGCCAGGATCACAAACACCAATTTCTGAGGTTTTTTCCGCCCAGAACTCCAGTTGTCCTTTCACTTTTCCAAACCAGCACCCACTGTTTTCAGCTGGAAAGCGCCAGTGTTTTCACAGACCAGGAAGGTGGAGCCATCTGCTGCTCAGCTCAGGAACTACATGGAAGCTGTAGTTGGAAAACAAGGCATAAAGAATATGCACGTGTCCTGTTCCCACACAGTAAAGATTAATCTTGTAGGAAAGTTCAAATGACTCTCCAGGCCCATGTAGAGTTGTCATGTAGTGAAATTTTGTTTTGTGTTTTAATAAATAAACTGCTAACAAGATATCTCCAAGACAAAAGATGACAAATTTTTTAGCTTTAATTTTCTTCCAGGGAAACCAAAGATAGTAATTATTTGAGTCACAATTAGTAAATTAGTGAAGATTTAGTAAGGGTTTTCTTAAGTAGCATCCAGGGTAAATCAAGCAAAATGCAAATTCTTTTTTTTTTTTTTTTTAATGAAATCCTGTAACATTGGTAAGTAATACCACCAAGTTCATCATTATGGAGAGAAGTAAGACCTCCTTTAATAAGAAATATTCATTTTTCCCTCCTTGATTATGAAACTTACAAAGCATTTGGGGCTCAGTTCCAAAGAATGTACCCATGTGGGAGTGAGTTACTTTTTCTTCACGTGCCAAAGAAGTGAGCTGTTTCAGAGTTGTCTACTCTGCATTGTTTGTGCTCTCAGGAACTATACCTCTCTTCTCAAGGAGGACACCAGAAGTGTAGCATTTCTGCAGTTTCCAGAGCTGTTGCTACAAATCTCTGCCTTTAGGACTTTCCCTGGCTCGGGAAAGACATGAGAAGATAATCTTCTAGACCTTTTCAAGCTCCAAAGAAGCCATGTTTTAGGTATTGTCAGAAACGTGACTCCTACTTTCACCTTGAGTCAGTCCATAGTTCTCTACACACAGTCCGTCCTCGTGTTCTAAGATCCAGTGGTGCCAACAGCAGGCTACGTACTTGAGAAAACCAGGGAGAGTAAAGCTGAAACGTGTGAACTCTTTCTCATTCAGCTTTCTGGAACCTCAAAGAGAACAGGAAGAAGGTGCACCCCCAGCAAAGTGCAAAGTCCCTTTGGAATCGAGATGGGAATTGGGAAACCAGTAATTCCAGGATATTAAATTAAGCCTCTCCTCACTAAACAAATATAGTTTCAAAGTTCAGCTGTGATAGGGAGGCCTTCCTCTACTTCAGTGGGTTTGTTTTTTTAAATTGGGCCACATGCCCAGTGCTTGAACAGAAACAGAAAGGTAGTGATCAATATAAAGGCATTGGATTCGTTAAATATTTCACCAAAGTATTCTGTGATGAGATACGGATCGAAAGCTCCCTGTCCCGTGTTTCTTTTTGTTTTTGTTTTTTTGTTTTGTTTTGTTTTTTTCCAGTCCTACTTTTTCTAGCTCATTCTCTTAAGTGTAAAGGAAATGCTGACTTGACGTTCTGGTAGAGATTTACAAAGCACCTACAGCAGATGTCGAAGGATAGCTTCTGGCTTAGTCCCACACCCTCTTTTCCGCAGCCTCTTTTCCAATTTGATTGTCACCTGAAACCACCTTATCCCGGTGCACCTGCCTCTTCATAAATAACGTTGTGCGGAAGCAGTCACTAATTCAAACACGGTCTGCTGCTTAGAAAAAGGCAGCTCTTCATCTGGTGCTTTCGCTGCTTTGAAACCATTAGGCATGCCTTTCAGATCCACTCATCCCTTAAATCACCCAGAGCTTGCTTCCTTGCTTCTGGATCAATGTCAGGCTGAACTTTTCAGAGTCCTTGGAAGAGCATGATATATCTTCGTGACTGAATTAGCCGCCATGCAACATATCTAGTCTGTCAACCAACTTTTCAGCTTACCAAGTCAATTTGAAGAAAGAGCATTCATCTTGTACACCTGAGTTGGAGAGATCTTTTGTTCCCGTTGGGAAGTTTCCAATAGAACCTGTGATCTCTATGCTAATTTCATGGCTCTAAGCTTTCGTTTAGCCTAGTTCATGGTTTTAAAAACCAAAATCTGCTTCCATTGTCTCATCGCATCTTTCCCCACCCCAAAGTGCCATCTCAATTTAGGGGGAAAAAATACCTGTTTAAATATCTCTACCCAAACCAGAAGAAGTATCCTGTTAAAATTCTCTAACTCCATTTGATTGGCACTACCTGAAAATACGAGGATTCTTTGATTTCCAAGGAGCCAGGCTTGAATGTGTTAGACCAACCTTCCCTTCAGAACGCCATGTTCTTCTTTGATTCGGTAAATCACATCTAGGCTCTGTACAGGTCTGCACCTGTTCCTAAACCGGGGTCTGAACTCCCCGAGGGTGTAAGCAGACTTGGTGGTACATTTCCCTCAGGGCAGTGTGGGGAGAGGTTTGTGAACCCCCTGGTTCACACTGAATGTGTGAATTGTGTGTGAAATGTGTGAGCCACTGGCCACATTGAATATATGGTTTCCCAGGAAAGGATTTACAAGTGAAACTTTTTGTAAGGTGAGAATTGTTTGCGAGGTGAACCTATCCTTGCCTTATCTCATTGATAGTGATTTGAATAAAGTCAGCAGTTTTTTTCAAGTATCTCATATGAATCTTTTTTTTCCTAAAGGAATTAACTATTTTTAAGTTTGACTTAATAGTAAATTAATGCCAGCATTTACCCTAATGCTGTCACACATTTTAATTTTGGAAAAGTCGGGTTCTCCTGAACAAGATTTTTGGTTAGCGGAGAGGTCTGTCGGGTTGGGCAGCATCTGTGCTGAGAAGGGTGGTAGACAACGGAGAGGTTGGTTTTGAGATTTTACTGGAAATGACAGAGGGGAGAATTGAGAGTTTAAAGGACCATAGAGATAGATAATATTAATTGTGAGAGCTGTAAGGAGAAGGTTTGCTACAGATAAGAGAACTACACTGAGACGAAAACAAATAAATAAATGGGGTCTCTGGGATAAGAGCAGTGTCACCCTTTGCCCTTCTTCCACTACGGAAACCATTAGCAAATGATTCCTGGCATTAATAGTGCCTGGGAGTAAATGCTTTTCTGCATTCTCATGTCCAGTACTTGGGTATTTTCTCGTTTTTTTTTTTTTTGTTTTTTTTTTTTTTTTAAAACAAGAACCAAGTTAATATTTAATCTTCTGAGCCTCGTTTTTCAACTCCAGAACCAGAGCAAGTAGAATTCAAATCTTGGATGAGAAATCTGAGTATTACTGAACAAGCAATAGTTCTTGATGTGGGTGATACCAGGGGAGATACTTGAAAGAAAGAAACTACTATGTTTGTCTTCTTAGGTATATAAGGTCCGCTTCACGGACAGTGCTTCCTGGACCGTCCTGCTGGCCTCCCCTTGTTGGTCAAATGCATTTCCTACACAAGGCAGTTTCTCTTTCTTTTGAAAATGGCTAGACTGGCCACTTGTTAGAGATTGTCCAGAAACGGGTGATGAATACTGTGATCCATGATCTTTATTTTCTTCATTTGTCTCAGTAAGATTGTTTTTTAACTGGAGATCTATGAAGTAAACACAAGCATTACTCTCTTTAATTGAATCTGAGATGCCATCCATTGTAAGACACTCTTTAATTTCATACTGCTAAAAAAAATACTGTTACACATGCCTTATTATCACTATGTGCATTCCGATTACAAAGACACTAAATGTTAACATAGTGTATCTTAAAATCCAAAATCTCTGCCTAGATGGGATTGTGCCTTGATTGCAAAGGTCAGTAATGTAAATAGTTCTGCTGTCATGATAGTATTGCTTGTTTTGTTTTTTTTTAAGATTTTATTTATTTATTTGACAGAGATCACAAGTAGGCAGAGATACAGGCAGAGAGAGGAAGGGAAGCAGACTCCCCACTGAGCAGAGAGCCCGATGCGGGGCTCAATCCCAGGACCCTGAGATCATGACCTGAGCTGAAGGCAGAGGCCTTAACCCACTGAGCCACCCAGGCACCTGGTAGTATTGCTTCTTTCTAAGAATAATTAGTGGCATTAATACATCTTGACAGCAATGACTTACATGGACCATGTGAAGCACAGGAATTGTTCTTACAGCCTACAATTTGGGATAGACTGGCAGATTTTTCATTTCATGGTTAAATATTATAGGTTTAAGGACCTCCAGTTGTAGCACAACATGATGTAGTGAAATAAATTTGGAACCTGAGGGTGTAGGTTTGAAATACGGTCCGATCTGTCCCTAATCTGCTATGTAACCGCAGTCAGTGATGACAGGTTTTCTGAACCGTAGCTGCTTACGCAGTCAAAACAACGGGAGGATGTCTGCCATAAAGGGTAGCTCTAAGAATCCCAAAAGGCATTTGTAGGCAGTAAACCTTACACAGACCAGAATTGCTGACCTTCTCAGAGCCTTCTGCGCTGTGCGTCTAGGCATTTCCAGGTGAGCAGCTTTGGAGGGGAATCAGAGCAGTTAGGGAAGGTGGAACGTGGAGACCTTTCCCTTGCTCCGAGGATCCCATAGTAGCAGAATGGGAGGGAGGGAGAGGGACTAAGGCATGGGAAAGAAGCCGTCTCGAGTATAAGGCAACGTAGAAAAATAGGACCAATGTGCATGAATGAGGGCCTGGCGTCTCTCGGAGCAACTCGGATCTGAGCGGTCGGTCGTTGCTCTGTGCAAGTTCGACAATCACGATGCTTCGTGGGAGAATGAGCTCAGCTGATTAGCAGTAGAACTTGGGGGTGATTAGAAGGCAGAAAGTGACCTGTGACATACCCTCTTCTTGAAACTGATTCGTAGTTGTCATAAACTGTACCCCCAATTCATCCACCCCAGGTAGGTTTCCGTGGTTATTTGCAGTATTTTCCTTGGTGCTTGGTTTGGGGGGGTGTGCCTAAGTGTGGATATTTTGTGCCTCACAAAGAAATCCCATGAGTGACCCATTCCCAAGGAACGATACAGAAGACTCATGCCGTCACTCTAATAATGCTCTAAGAAGAACTTTGCCATAAGAGAATTTAATAGCTTTGTTACGATTTAGGATTTGGGAAGGAGTGAACAAAATTGAGACCCATTTTCTAAATAAAAAACACACATTGGGGGAGGCAGTGGTGGCGTTACCTTCTGCAGTTCTCACAGCTGTGAGGCACCGGACCAGGGCTTCGTTAAATCGGAGGCCGTGGTCAGATCTAAGTCCTCGTCTGCTTCGTGGGAGTAAGAAGTTGAGAAGTACAAATACTTGTGTCTTTGGTGCTGATTTCTTGAAAGGGAGCTGGGTGACCTTTGACTATCAAGGGCTAGTGGTTACTGTTAATAAGCTGAAGGTAGCAGGGGGGCGAGATTCACGGGGTGGGGGGTCCAATGCCGCCACAGCGCTGTGACATCTCAGCCTGGTCACTTCGTTCCACCTTCTAGGGTTTGCACGTGAATAACAATAGGCGATCGGAGCAGATTGTGGCGGCACTAGGGCTCTGGCCTCTTCCGTGACCTGTTTTGTGGTCAGTGCTAATCGCTTAGGACATACATTCTCCCACCTTGTTACAGCCTTTGTGTTCTCCTCCCTCAGGCCGCCAGGCACCCACTTCTAACTGACGGCAGTTGGACAGTGAGGTGAAGTCTATTTTTCATCCTGGATGAGATGATCTCTATGATCCTTTTGAACTTTCAGCATTTTCTGATTTTTCTGAAATTCCCAAGTCTTTGGCCAACCATCTCCCCGAATCACTTTATTAGGATGGTTTCAGTAGTGATGAATAAATGGAGAAATCGAAGAAAATTCATGGTTCTTGGCAGACAAAATAAGAAAAGCCCAACTCCCAGGGCACGATGGAATCCCACCTGTGATCCTGCTCGTGCTGGGCGCCGTATGGTTTTTGACCATCTACAGCTTTTGTAAGCCGGAAGTGGTAACCCAATCCAGATGGACGGTTCCCTGCAGGCTCTCAGACTGAACTTTGAGACGCTTCTCATCTTGGGTCCCAGAGTCTCAGTTTATGGATATTTCGAGTTTCTCAGGGAAAGGGTAGATGAAAAAAAGGCTCTTTTTTAAAAAAATCTTCCCGCCAAGGACAAGTTGTTTGCAAAGATTATATTGCACATGAATCGTACTCAGAAAACTGGCAATCTGAAGAGGACAGAAACACACTTTGTCCACTGTCTTATAAAATGTTGACATTGAGTTCTCTATTTAACAATGACTTCAGCTAAGCTCAGAGCATTTGTGTTAATGCTTATGTCCTGTAGCTCCTGATCCTTTGGCTGTTATGACCATGTCCTGCCTCAGCGAGAGACATGGCAATGATGACGCACGTAGTGACAGATCTCCCAGAGTGATTCTCAGTAATCAATTTCTTCCCATTGGTGGCTGTTTTTTCCCTCCAGCATTCTCCCATGGCATTGGTTTGTGGTTGGGATAGAGTACAAAAGGCTGAAGCTTTTCTTCTGTTTCTTTTTCTTGATGCTTCCTTCCCTAAATGCTGTTTTCATCTGCCAGGTTGTCCTAATAGTAGATTTTTTCCCCAACACTCCACCCCTTGGCCACCCTTGCCAAGGCGCGCGCATGTGTTATGATGCCATGGTCCCCGTTGGCTGGAGCTGGAGCAGATGCCCTTGGAGTGTAGGATGTGCCTTCCCAGACAGGGCTCCACACCTCTCCCATTCAGATGTAAATATCCTTGGCATCTTGAAAAGAAGGATTAGCCCAGGTTGTGTCCTCCTGCGGCCTTCACAAACCCTGTCCCTCTGGGTCCAAAGCTAGGGCTGGCTTCCCGCATTGTTTGCCTTCTGAAACCCTCAGTCTGTCGGCTCCTGAATGCCTCCATTGTCCAGACATGCTGCCTGAAACCGACAGTCTATTCTCGGTCCCGAGCTCTGTCCCTAGAAATCCAAGTCACAACTTAATAGCCTCTGGCCTCTACTGAGCCCCTCTAAGAAGGGCTTTGTGAGTTGCAAAGCATATGAATGGTGAGGACTGGCACCAGGCTTCCTGTCCCCCAAATCAGGAGCCTCTCGGCCCACGTGTTTGCTGAGAACGGAGGCTTTACAGAGCTCCCACCCCAAAAGAATTAGACACAAGTGGGTGAAAATCGGCCGTGTCAGACCTCCCAGTGGAAGCTGGAGGGTCAGCATCGAATGTCTGGATTTACGTACACGCACCTGTAAGCACACGTGCACGCTCACACACGCACACACACACGCACCTGTGCGTACGGCGCACACGCAGTACTCGAAGTCTAGGCCTCTCTTACAATTCCACTTTTTCAGCCTCTGTCCTGCTTATCCCCTGCTGGACGCAGGTCAGCCCGGCGTTGCCTGTACGTGACGCTGTGTCTTCCCTGCAGCTTCGAAGCCGCGCACGCTCTCCCCGGCCGGCGCTCGGCTCCGTGAGATGAAGCAGTGCGAAGCCCAGTTCCGTCCTCCACGGAAGGACGATCTCCGCACGCGGCGGCCGGAGGCTCGAGCCCGACGCAAGCTGGGTCCTCCGATCGAAGCACGGCCGGGCGTCGGGGGGCATGAGAGTGCGCTGGTCGGGCGGTGCGCGTGTTCCCCCGGGAGCGTCCGCGTCCCGACGGCGCGGCTGTTGGTCCGGACGCAGCCGTGTTCAAAGTTCCGGCCCCCGCGTCGCCGCGAGGGCGCCGGGCTTCCCGCCGGCGTTACTGACGCTGCGTCTCTCCCTTTAAACCCGCTGCAGGGAAGCATGCCTCAGACGCCCCCCTTCTCGGCCCTGTTCGACGGCAGCGGTTACAACCGGAACCCGCCCCCGGCGGACGCGGGCTGCGCCGGCCTGTGCTACCACGACAACAACCTCCTGTCGGGGTCTCTGGAGGCGCTCGTCCAGCACTTGGTGCCCCGCGTGGACTACTACCCCGACGTAGGTACCGTCCTCGGAAGCGTGTCCCCGCTGGTCTTTGCGGGACGTTACGACGTGGGCGGCAGGGACCCCAGATACTCCTGAATCGTATCCGGGCTGCTAAGAATTTTTCAAATCAGAAAATGCCTATTGATGATTGAGTGTTTTGAGATCCGGTGGAGCCGCATGTGATTCACATTTTGATTATTGTCTGCGTATCCGTTTCTTCTCGGGGCTGGTACCACACTGTAGGTGGCCAGATGCCATCCAAGTGCGGTACCGGTGGGTTGCATTCGTGTATATGCCTTGTCCTTGCGTAGAAACGCCGGAAGACAGTGCATACTCCTAGGATGCGTAAATGCTTGTTTTCTTTCCAAGACCATCTCCATACTGAGGAAAGTGAAGTCGGACAGGAAGACTTCCTAGAAAGGGGAACAACAGGCATATTCAAGATGCGGTTCATATGTTTTACTCTGATAGCCAGCCTTTACATGCGTAATACTTTCTAGTCTAGAGAAGTCGCTTACATTTTCTCACTCTCCACGGCAATTCCAAGAGGCCAGAGCGGAGAGCACTGAAATTCAGAATGCCGAGCGAGCCGCACACGGTCTCAGCCAGCATCAGCATCAAACCTCGGTCTCTGTTTCTGGGCAACTGCTGTTTTTCTCCCCGTTTTCACTGGTGCCAGACTTGCCCTTGTTACTGAACAGCAGCTGGTAGTTGATAAGGAGGTCATGAAACCATCTAGACACAGAGTCACATGTTTTTATAAATATAATGATGACCTTGGTGCATGAAGGATAGTTTGTGCTTGCCGCCTAGTTCACCATAGTGTTTCTCCCTGAGTTATCTCTCTGTGCGATTTGTTACATAGCGTTGTGAAATATGTTGCCACACAGGGAACACTTGTGATCAGAAGGAAAAGGAATCCCTTGTTCAGCCCTGTAAGTGTTTATGAGCTAGTAAAGGCGCCTAAGGGGGGAGGCGGGGGTAAAAAATACAAAAAAAAAAAAAACCCAAAACCACAAAACAAAATGAAAAACAGCCCTGGATTTTTCTTTTCACTGGGAGTCTGAAACTGTTATAGCAAATAAACCCTACTTCATTCCTGGCTTCTTGGGAGACAATGTAGTTAAGAAAAAGTGTACAGTGTGATACTGTGTTTTATCAAGTCGCTTAGCCTCCGAGGGAGTAAGCAGATTACCTGAAAGCCCGCCTCTGAATGTTCTAGCACCAGCGGACGGACTCTGCTGGGTGCCCACCAGACACACTGGAGAATCCTCGAGCTGTTGTGGGCTGGGTGTTTTTTTGGTTTCCATTGAGTTACCATAATATCTGGATCCAGAACAAGATTCTGTAGGGGTTATCTGTTTAAGTCAGATCTGTGTCTCTGGGCTGAATTTCATTCTCCTTAGCGAGAGTGAGTGATGTGCCCTGGTGTCCTGGTGCCCAGAGGGAGGGACGTGAAAGTGTGCTTTGAATAATTTCAGTAGATAAACTTAGCTTGTGCTTCTGTTATTTTTAGTGTGGTTGAAGGAAAGAGGTACATCAGAAGGCAAAGGAAAAGTCCGTCTTAGGGTGTTTTACTACGAAGCATTATTTTTTGAAACTGCAGTGTGTTAACTTTGATTGAGAGAACTTAATAAGATGTGTAAACTATGGGGGAGATATTAGTCTCAGAGAGAACGTAACCACGATGATTTTTTTCCTCTCGCCGCAGAGAACGTACATATTCACCTTCCTACTCAGCTCTCGGCTGTTCATGCATCCCTATGAGTTAATGGCCAAAGTTTGCCACTTATGTGTTGAGCACCAGAGACTAAGTGATCCCAACAGCGACAAGGTAATGATATGCCTTGAACTTTACTATTCTCTGTTAGGCTTGGTAACTCTGTCGCTTAGATTTTGTGAAGCTGCCTGCCTTCCCCTGGGCTGAAGGGCATAAATGGTGTCACGGCTGTGCAAAGGCAATGGGGAATGGCATAAAGAACACTGTGGAGGCTTGGACACCGGAATTTAATGTTCCTTTTCATCTAAGATCTTTATTTCTCTAACGTTCTTGGTCCTATTGAATCACTTCAGTATATACTTCAGATGTTACTACCCAAGAGAAAAGCCAGCACAGTGTGTGTGCCGGTCATTATGGTCAGTATGGTAGAATTTTTAAAAAATAAACCATCATGTCCTTCTTGTGAAACAAACCAGCCCCTGCAGTGTAAGTTCAAGGCCGTGGAAGAGCCCTACATCCTGCCTGAAGTTGGTGCCACTTGGCATTGACTTGGGGGAGGGGGACTAGACTTCTTCAAGCCCAGAGACTTTACAGGAGACGTTTACCAGTGACTCTGTTCAGTTACAGACGTGACGCCATCCGTGGTGATAGAGATCACTGAACGAGATGTGCTCTTTCTTCCAGAACCAGATAAGAAAAATTGCACCCAAAATCCTTCAGCTCCTGACGGAATGGACGGAAACGTTTCCTTATGATTTTCGGGATGAAAGAATGATGAGAAACTTGAAGGATCTGGCTCACCGGATAGCCAGCGGCGAGGAGGTTGGTGTCCTGAGTTTTAGCGAAAGCACTTGAATTTCCAGGCCGAGCCTTGGTGGGAACTGGTGCTGAATTGTGTATCACGATCTCCACATCTTCCTTTCTGTGTTGCCTTTGGACAAGTCTTCGACATAGCCTCGTGGCCCGTTTGGTGTGTGGAATGGGGAGGATTACACAATCCCACTTGGAAGGGTTATCATCTGGAATTTTATGTGATTAATCTGGGGGTGCGCTCGTGTCCATTCATGCGTAGGGTTCACGTTGCAAGGGTGTTTTAATTTTACTTGTACTTTTCTTCCTTCTGAAAGGTTTGACACAGCAAGTCACATAGCATGTACGATAATACATATCATATTAGTAGATGTAAACACAGATAGAACATAAATAACACGGTAACGTATTAGCAGGTGATAAGTTGTGTGTTGATACATCAGAAATAGACACTTTGTAACCACGGAAGGGAGAAAACACAGGGTCTGGAAGCGACTAGCAGGACAGGACTGCTGCAGTTTCGGCCTCAACTTCGGGTAAAAGAGAAACACAGTTGGTTATGGGATTTTCACCATCAGGAAAGAAAGCCTACTAGTTCTTTGGGGCATTAAATTAAATGAAATTTTAAGAACTTTCTTATGGAGAACTTTATCCAGGGGGCACAGAATGAGATCAGGGAGACTGTTCCGTGTAGGTTTTATAACAAATGCTCCTTGATAAAAAACCGAGGCTGTGTGATTCCTGTGTCATTAGCAAAGGTCATTCTTCTGGAGAGGAGAAGACAAAGAGGAAAAGATCCAAGTCTCCTGGTGGCCGGAAGTTGGTTCAAGGCTAGTACCTAGGGCAGGTGGAGAAAAGTGAGTCTCTTGGATACTGTCGTAAATACCACTTCCCCGCACCAAGCCTTTGACAAGCGCTGACTGGCTGTTACATTGAGCAGGGCGATCCTCCCTGAAGGAGGCCTGCAGGCCCGGTATTTTCTGCTGAGGCTTGTTGGGCAAGGGCGTCTTTGTAGCTTCTGTGCAGCCAGAGAGCTCCTGGGGGCAGAGCCCTTGGGCGCAGATACAGCCCTTCCACGCAGGGAAAGACGGACAGAGCGTTTGGCCGCTGGAGAGATGTCTTGTTTTGTTCGTCTTGAAACGCGTTTTCCCTCCAGAGTGACCTTCCTCGAGAACGCACTCCCTCGGTGCCGCGCCGCGAGGATCGGTAACAAGATGCCCTCTCTGTTGTGTCTGCTTCTGGTGGATCTATTTTAAGACCATTCCCCCCACCTTAAAAAATTATTTCAGATTTTCAGTTGACAGACTTGACTCACCCGCAGTTATGTCCTCATGAGAGTGGATTTAACCCTTCTGCTGCTCCCGTGTGACGTTGTTCTGAACCCTGGTGATCAAGACGGCTGTGATTTACCCGTAAGGCTGAGTGAGTGGGTTCCTGAGTCGTTTTGCAAGTTATGACTGTTAAAATTATTTTGCTGGTTTGCCTGGGATGGGTTCCAGCCAGGTATGAATTGGTGGGTCCGCCACGCACAGAGGCAGAAGTTCAGTGCCACAGGGTGGTTTTCTGGCCGATCTTACTCAGCCTGGGTCTGTCGGGCTGCTTGGCTCCATCAGTCCTGGTTCAGTGAACGCGGGCTAGGACGGGATGCTCAAAAGATTCGTGGCATCGTAAGGACTTTTTCTTGTATGAAGTCCGAGTCTGGAGTCAGTCGGCACCACTTGTAGTGAAGTTGTACTTTAGGTACCTAACTTGATAGATCAGTCAACTGACCTTCCCCCATGGCCTTTTTTAAAAGGTAGGAATGGTCACTTGATCCTTTCCAAAGGAACACCTGAAGAATCTTTTACAGATAAAAAGTTGGCGTTCTGAAAGTGTCTGATGGGTGGCCTTTGGTTTGTCGTGTGGTGGTGGTCAATGAGGGAGATCACTTATATCTGTGTCAGTCTGATTGGATCCTGTCTGGTTTTTTGGGTCAGGCTCAAGCCCCTCGAGTGCTGGGAGGAAGTCAGAGGGCCCCAGGGCCTTCGAACCGGCTTCTTGTGAACACTCCTCTGTTAATAGCAAATCCTTGATAAACCTTGAGATTGTCAGATGGTTTTGAGTGAGAAAAGAGGAAACGAGAAGGTAAGCCAGGTGGAACCAAGGAATGGATCAACCCAGGGCTTGAGCAGCCACGCGTCCCCTGCCTTGATCAGGTTGGGTTTTACAGGGAGAGGCCGTTCCTTTGGCCCCTTCAGTCCTGTTTTCGGAATCGGCCGCTGTTGGCATCTGGTCAATCTGAATGGGCTTCGGCAAGTTCCCCAGATTCCTTGTCTTCTCTGTTCCTGCAAGTCGAGGAGGCATCTGTGCTGTGTTAATGCCCAGGTCAGCTCTAAGATCGTGTGATGGATGCTTTCCTCAGAGAGACACCTTCCCTCACCACCCCAAGCACTGTCCCCCTGCAACACCCTCATTGTTGGCTTTCACCACCGTTTTCTTCAGAGCACCCTGTGGCTAGGAATTACTTGCTTTTTTTTTTTAACTATTTGTTCTCCACCTCCTCCCCCCTCCCCTCCACCAACTCCTGGTGCCCGCTCTGTTCATCGTAGCATCCCTAACTCCTAGCTCAGTGCCCGGCATTGCGTAGGTACTCAGTAGCCTGCGCATGAATGAAGGAGCGAACTATGCAGTTTCTGGAAGAGGAAAACACATACTTCCCTCCGCAGGAAGGAGCGTGGGCTTGGCTGGAGACTTGTTGCTTCTCGCCCGAGACTTTAGGGATTTTTTTGGCAGTCAGTGACTCCAGGTGCGCCCTGTGTATGATTTTGTCTGGTTCTGCTGAATCTGCTGGGACAGTTCTGCATAATTTGGCTTAATATGTTTCCCCCTGGGGATTTGCCCCAAATGAAGTGGTTTATTAGGACTTGCCCACAAGAAACATGAAATGGAGCTAATGACTGAATTATGTGACAAGTGACTGTAGTGGGGAGAATGCAGTTTTCTCTTCCTTAAGGGGCTGGTCTTTCTTCTATCTTTATTTGCCGGGTAATTACTGTCACCGGCATTGGAAGTTATAAACAAGAATAAGTGCATATTTAGCAGTTCATGACTCGGTAAGGAAGCGCGCCTAACAACACAAAGCTTGGAATGGACTCAAATGGCAGCAGGAAGCTTAAAAGAGGTCATACATGCGTGCGCTCTTTCTCTGTGTGTCTCTTTGTCTCTCTCTCTCTCTCTCACACACACACACACACACACACACACACTAGTTCTTCATTATTTGAATGGCTTTACCCTATACCCTCTTGTGTATGTTCCCCCTACAGCTAGTTGCTTTTTGCTCACTAGCTGAATCCTTGACCATACATCCCTCAACCACTTCCCTTAAAAAAGTATGCTTTAAAGTGTAGAATAAGAGACTGTGGACTCTGAGAAACAAACTGAGGGTTTTGGAGGGGAGGACGGTGGGGGTTGGGAGGGCCTGGTGGTGGGTACTAAGGAGGGCACGGATTGCATGGAGCACTGGGTGTGGTGCATAAACAATGAATTTTGGAACACTGAAAAGAAATTAAGTTAAATAAATAAATAAGAATAAAGCTAGGTAATAATCTAAAAAAAAAAAAAAAGAATCTTTCACCAGATATGCCAGTAGAGCATAGATCTTGATACTTTGCTACATACCAGCATCACCCGGGAATGTTAGGTATGACATTTGGGACAGGGACTGAAGAAACCATTTCAAGTTCACAGATGTTTAATGTAACTCAAAATGATGAGAGCAGAAGAGCGAGGGAGACGGGGACAAGGGATTTATTTTATTTTGTTTTATTTTTATTTATTGTTGTTACTGAGGTCTAATTAGCATCTAATAGTCTATTGGTGTCAGACGTACGACTTAATGACTTGATATTTGCATATATTGTAAAGTGATCGCAGTAAGTCTTACTAACATCCATCACTACACAGTTACAGAGTTTTTTCCCTTGTGATGAGAACTTTAAGGCCCATTGTTTTAGCAAGTGTCAAGGATGCAATACAGTATTATTAACTATAGTTCCTGTAATCACGTCCCCAGGACTTACTTATTTTGTAATTAGAAGTTTTTATCTTTTGCCCCTCCCCTGTCCCCGACCTCACCCCACCATGAGGGATTTAATTAGCCCTTAATTCAGTCTCGAGCTCCTTCAAATTCCAAAGAAAAAGACATTTTTCTTTGAGGGACAAGCATATTACCAAATAGATAACATCTTCTAAATTGGTAACGTTAATGCTGGGTGGAAGATAGGTTTTTTGAAGGTTCAACTTTTTAAACCCTGAGGTATTTCATTAATGATTTAGGGTGGTCTGTGAATAACAGAGGGAAAAAAAGATGTGATCTAACGGGCCAGTTTAAAGAACTGAGTAGAATATACTCCAGACAAGTAGAGACAAAGAAAAGAAAAAGAAGCCTGGGTAAGCTGCTTTTGCCTTGACTAAGTAAGAATCGGTCATTTCCAGAAGTGTTTGGGATTTTCCTTAAGTATGCAGGTATCTGTCCATCTGAGTTTCTGTAATTTGCTCTGGTGCACCGGGTTGCCTCTGTGACGTGATAGGGCTCTTGTACTTGTAGGTAAGATGCCATTCAGTTTTCAAACAGTTAATCTCAGAAAGTAATAGTGGGTAACAACTTTTAAAAAGGGTCTGACTAAGCAGAGGAGCATAACCATAGGCCTTTCCACGTCTCAGTTCAGAGGGACAGCCCTCCTCGGAGGTGTTGACCTCAGGACCGGGTTAGCGTGGGGGCCTTTCTCCCCTCACACCTATAGGGATGGTGGTTTGCTTGGGAGTCTGGGGCGAGACAAGACAGAAGAGAATGCTGTAGCTTCTGTCGTGATAACAGGCCCCTGCGGATGGATTAATTGTGAAGTTATTTCTTTGACTTAACGAATGCTCTGAAAAGTCAAGAGACTGACATAGTCTCGAAGACGTGAGTTGCTTTGGAAACCGATTGGTCTTAAGGGTTGTGGCTGTCGCGCAGCGCAGGGGAGCCTGGCTGGTCGCGAACGTTCGCACTGACTCACGAGTGCAAGAGAAATGGACGTGAGTCCTGTGCAGGTCAGGTGCCAGCAATGAACAGCCGCTGCCTCCTGGTGCCAGCCGCGTCCTCTGTGCAAGTCCAGAGAGGGGTGTGGGCAGGGGCGGGGGGAAGGGGTGATAGTGGTATTTTCTGTCCAGCTGGCATCGCTTATAGACGACCGAGACCGGGCACGAGAGGCACAGGGAGATCAAGAAGGTGACCTGGCGGAGAAGCCTTAGGAAGAGGCTGCTCCAAGCGGAGATCAGAGTGCTTTAGCCTGCGAGGGGTGAAGCGGGGCATTCCTGTGCCGGCCCAGGGAGCACTTAGTTCTGTGCAGTAGCTCATCAAAGTGTCACTGTGGGGTTTTCCTGGCTCAGCCTGAATCGTCCTCTCAGAGCAGCCTGAGCAAAGAGCTCACTTTCCAGGTCCGAAAAGGCCCCTTCTGGGCGACGTGTCCCTCTCGGACTCTAGGAGCTGGGCTCGGTCGTCCTGTAACTGCGCGCGGCTTCTCCAGCGCCCGGGAACACAGGCCTGAGTTTGCCTGCGGGGGAAGGTCCACACGCAGAGTGAGCGTAATCCTGCGCTTCTCCCCGGCAGACATATAGGAAGAACGTCCAGCAGATGATTCAGGGTCTGATCCGCAAACTGGCCACGCTCAGCCAGTATGAGGAAGTCCTGGCGAAAATCAGCTCCACGTCCACGGATCGGCTCACGGTTCTCAAGACCAAGCCACAGTCCATTCAGAGGGACATCATTACCGTCTGCAGTGACCCTTACACTCTGGCTCAGCAGCTGACTCACATCGAGCTGGTAAGGTCCTTGTCACCGTTTGCTGTGGCAATGCACACATTGTCAGCGGTCACATCCCGGGAGACTCTGTTAGCATGACCCAAATGGGAAGTGCTATGGGCAGTAGCTGGGATATGTTTTGCTTAGACCTTGAACATGAATGTTTTTGACATTCAGGGAATTCACTTTTTTTTTTTTTTTAAGATTTATTTATTATTTGAGAGTGAGAGCACAGAGGGAGAGGGAGAAGTAGATTCCCCGCTGAGCAGGGAGCCTGACGTGGGGCTCGATCCCAGGATGCTGGGATCACGACCCGAGCTGAAGGCAGATGCTTAACCGACTGAGCCACCCAGGCACCCTGGGGAATTCACTTAAACACTAGCAAGCAAGACTGAAGGGCAGATTGACTGACCTCCCTCATCTTCACCCTCCATTTCCATGACTTGCCCAGCCTTTCACTATGTCGTGTGGCACTGACTTCGGCAGAAAGTTGCCTCTGCTCAGAAATCGAAGACGATGACAGTATTTAGGGTTAAAGGCTCATTTTAGAAGCTGCATAAAAAGCGGAGGCCGTGCCAGAAGTCAACAGGAGTTAACAGTCCATTTCTTCTCATTTTCTTTACTAACGTTGATCTGCTGGTTTGGTGTTTTAGGAAAGGCTCAATTATATTGGGCCAGAAGAATTTGTTCAGGCGTTTGTACAGAAGGACCCTTTGGACAATGACAAGGTAATCGGTCCTAGAGGTCAGCTCTGAAACTGGAAATGGGACTTCTTAGTCTGTGATAGTAGATGCAAGAGACAGAGACTGGAATTATTTTGTCTTAGGCTTTACAGTCAGAAGGTGTTTTTTTCATTAGCCACGTCTGATTCATTGCGCTTTTCTTAAGCCTGGTCTTCAAGCACCGTCACCGTATTCTTACCCTATCACAAACCCTAGCCTCTTCTTCCTCCTTATTGGGAAATTAAATAAGCAAGTAGACACAGGATTTGCGGTGGTGAAGGTCGGAGATAAAGGCGTAATGGTTTTAGCAGATTAAGTCAGAAAAAATACCAGAGAATGCTCCGCTCGTGACTCAGCAATTAGAGGGGCAGGAAAGACAGGACACACATGCAGTGAGCCGAGTAAGGTCTCCGCTGCTTTGCTGCTGGTTTCAAGGTCAATCTCTTGTGACAGGCTCGTTCCCCAAGTGAGCCACATGTGAAGCAGGTAGCACGCATGGATGTAAGATCGGTGAACACACATAAGAAATGGTTCCCCAGTGGCCCCCAGAAGCATCTCGAGTTGTTAGGCAAAGACTGGATTGTCCACTAGTGAAAACTCCCTTTGGAACTTAGGGGTAACAGCTGTTTTCCGGCCTTAGAATAGCTTCCCTCAGTACAGGAAGCAAGGATTCGGCTTTGCAGTAGGAGGCTAGTGGACTTTTTTTTGTTTGTTAGATTTTTTTGGAAGGAAGGAAAGAGGGGTGTAATTACCCTGTTCAGGCTTGGCCTTGAGCACCAAGATGAGGGGAACTCCTTTCGCTTTTGAATAAGGCGCCGTTCACCCTCCTAAGGACTGGGACGGCCCAGACTATCATTTACCTAGCTTGGAAGATGTTTCGTTTCTTGCTACATGATGCTCCGAAATGTTGACCTAGACTGCATTTTAAGAGAAAATATCCTAGTCCCTGCTCTCAGCCTCTCCTCGCCATGTCGCTAGCAGCTGGCATTCCCGTGCCACTCATCAGTCCGGGTTGCTTTGGAACACAGCCAAAACCCCTTTGAGTTGTGCTTCGGAAGACAGTTCCCACCGAGAGTGACTTAGTTTCTGGGGAGGGAAGGGCCCCATTTTGAACACTTTAGAGTACGTCTCTGGCTAAATCTTACGGATTTCACTGGACCGTAGGAAGAGACTGGTATTTCTGTGAAGGGGGTCCAGAATGTTAGTGATTTTCTCTTTTCTCTTCCCCATCCCCTTGTCTTGGAAGGCTGTCTCGCTCCATAAACTGGACTAAAGGCCCATGTCTGACAGGGACGAGAGCCCAGTCCACTCTTTATTCTTGGTCTCCAACTCATCTGCTCGCTTTGCTCTCCACAGAGCTGCTACAGTGAACGGAAGAAAACCCGAAACCTGGAGGCGTACGTGCAGTGGTTCAACCGGGTCAGCTACCTGGTTGCCACCGAGATCTGCACGGTGAGAAAACGAGTTTTCCCTTTCTCCTCGCTGTCCCTTTATTCTTTTCATATTTATTTTACATTTATTGGGTCCACGTGTTGGATCACTGCCCTCCTTTTTTCCCCTGTCTCTGTACAGCCTGTAAAGAAGAAGCACCGGGCAAGGATGATCGAGTATTTCATCGACGTAGCTCGGGAGTGTTTCAACATCGGCAACTTCAATTCCCTGATGGCCATAATCTGTGAGTGTTTTCTGGAAGGCACGGGTCCTTCACTTGTGAGGTCCTGGGAAGGGTGTCCACTAAAATGCACACGTAGTACAGTTTCATTAATGAAAACTCTACTTTTGGGCCACCTGGGTGGCTCAGTGGGTTAAAGCCTCTGCCTTCGGCTCAGGTCATGATCTCAGGGACCTGGGATCGAGTCCCGCATCGGGCTCTCTGCTCAGCGGGGAGCCTGCTTCCTCCTCTCTCTCTCTCTGCCTGCCTCTCTGCCTACTTGCGATCTCTGTCTGTCAAATAAATAAATAAAATCTTTAAAAAAAAAAAAAAAACAACTCTACTTTTGAATTCCGAGTTGTTCTAGAATGTTCCGAATGCTTTAAATATCAGCATCGTACAAGTGCGCACACTCTGTTTGACGTGTGTGACTTCGCGGAGTACAGCCAGTCAGCTTGTCCTCCTCTAAGTATTTACCGGTAGAAGCTCATGAGGGAGAGATTCATCTAAAAGGAGGATTTAGAAAGTGTTCGGGCAGCTTGTGTGTCAAGCATGATAAAATGTGTGATCTGAGACTGCGCTGTATGATGTTAGCAGCATGGACCGGAGGGTGGCCCGAGAAACGGGATCTTGTGACCATCCGTGCTCCTAGGACACCTGCAACCCCGTATTACCCTGGTGGACGAACTTCGCTCCTTCTTTGTAACATGGGGATCTTAACATCAGTGACCATGTTTCTTTTCATTCATCCTGTAAACATAGTGCCTGGGTCATGCCACAATTATTGATAGTGACTCTTTCATTTGAAAATACCCTATTTATAGGATAAATCATATGTTTATCCTATACATTTTAGGTAGTCAATAAATAGTTGAATATTTACTGGACCCTCTAGAGTCAGAGTCAGTTTGGAGTTAGAGAATCTACCGGATGTGATTCAGTGCTTTTGATCCCAATAACTCCCCCCTCACCAGTTCTGAATTCCGTTTTCTTTTCAACATGATTTTTCCTTGTTTTCTCGCTAAAAATACCACATTTTGGCTTTTTATCTGGTTTACTTCTTGAAAATAGTGAGCAGAAAGACCATGTAAATCAGGGACCTGAAAGTCCACAGTCTAGGTGGTAGAAGTTCACTTAATTTTCTCCCTTATACCACTAAGAAAATGTCAAGACACACCATGTCGTGGGAGAAAGTATCTGTAATACATGACAGCTGAAAAAGAACTTGCATCCAGACTCTATAAAGGACCCTGTGAATCAATAGGGACACAAATAACCTAGTGAAAAACAGGGCAGATACTTAGATATGTCACAAAAGTTTGCTTCTGTATGCTTATTGTTATATTATAGATAATAGTATATAAAAATGTGCTCCGTATAATTAGTCATCAGAGAAATACAAATTAAAATCACAGTGTAAAACCATTTCACACGTTGAAATGACTGAAATTAAAAGGACTGGGTGAGGGGGCGCCTGGGTGGCTCAGTGGGTTAAGCCTCTGCCTTCGGCTCAGATCATGGTCTCAGGGTACTGGGATCGAGCCCCGCGTCAGGCTCTCTGCTCAGTGGGGAGCCTGCTCCCCCCCCCCTTTCTCTTTGCCTGCCTCTCTGCCTGCTTGTGATCTCTCTCTCTTTGTGTCAAATAAATAAATAAAATCTTAAAAAAAAAAAAAAGGACTGGGTGAACCAGATATTGGTGAAGATGAGGAGAAAGAGGAAGTCCGTGTGTTACTGGTGGGGTATGAGATGTATTTCTACTGTGGAAAAACTGGTGGCAGTTTTTTTAATCAAGTTAACTTGCACTTAGTAATGAACACTTTTTTGGGGCATAATTTCGAATGACTTCTCTTACTTGTCTGTTTCAACTTTTTCTCCCGTCTCCACTCCATTCCGCGTGGGAAGCTGGCATGAACATGAGCCCGGTGTCTCGACTGAAAAAAACATGGGCTAAAGTGAAGACTGCAAAGTTTGATGTTCTTGAGGTACGTGGAGCTGGGGCCTTGCTGTTAACATTTTACAGCCAGAAAGTGAGATTCTTCTGTGTGAGCTTTGCCCTTGATCAGGGTGTCCTACAGGGAAGAAAGCCCGTCTCTCCTTACAGACACAGGGAAGGGAAGGGAAGGGCGTTAGAACTGGCAGAGGTGAGGGGAGATCGGGTTGTAGCCCGGCCCTTTCATAGACAGAGGGTCCACCTTGGGGCGGACCGACTGAAGAAATAGCGACTTGTCAGCTACATCCTGTTGTTTGCCAGGATGGAGTCTGGATCCTGAGCCACTGGGAGTTCTGCCTCAGGGCCGGCTGACGTCCTGTATTTGCAGTGTCCCAGGGGAAGAGTTCCCATCCCTATGGAAACACTCACTTGCCATCTTTCAGCATGGTTAGCTGACCTGCGCAAAGGCTCTGCAGGGTAATTCGGAGGATAGTAAGAGTTGTCCATAAAGGCATTTGTGTTTGGATCATACTAACGTCGTTATCACCTTGGCATGTTGGTGCTTTGAATCAGTGGTCTTTGGAGATAATAAAAAAATGCCCTTTCCTAAGTTTTCTCCAAATTGGGAAGCAGCACTGACGTATTGCATTATTACGCCTTTATTCATATTGTCTAATGTCTTCTCCTCTGGTAAGACAGTATGCTTCGGGTACCCGTGAGTGATTTGTTACCACATGCAAAGAACACGTTCACAACAAAGGGTCACTAGGCACGGCCAACCGGCAACTGGTCCGTTAACATTTGAGTGAAATCTGGAAATGGTTTCCTATGCTGCTTCTGATTCTCTGTTATCAGTTTTAAGTCGAGTCTCCAAGGTGAACCTGGAAAGAACTTGGTCTAGGTTTGACCTTGTTGAAGCCGACTTCAGCTTACGTAAATGAATCAAACCTCAGCAAAGAAAACGTGTGTTCTGATGGGTTTTACGCCTGCATGTGTATGAGGGGGTCATTCCTATCTTTAATGAGTTGTCTCACCTATTGCAGTTTTTTAAAAAGATCTATTTATTTATTTTAGAGAGAAAGAGATAATAGGGGTGGGGAGGAGGGAAAGGGAGAGAGAAACACAAGCAGATTCCACGCGGAGCTTGGAGCCCTGAGCAGGCTGGATCTCACGACTCTGACGTCAGGGCCTGAGCTGGAACCAAGAGTGGGCGCTTAACCCACGACGTTCCCTGGGCCCCCCTCACATATTGCAATGTGTTATGTAGGGTTCAAAGTACAGTCTTGCCAACTTTGTGCTGGTGGGAAGTAAAGGATTAATACTCTTCTCTCTTTTGCGGACAGCATCAGATGGACCCTTCCAGTAATTTCTACAACTACCGAACCGCTCTTCGTGGGGCAGCACAAAGGTCTTTAACGGCTCACAGCAGCCGAGAGAAGGTACGTGCCTACAGGAGTTGTATTCCCGCCAGTTACCACGTGTGGCATGCGAATGCACCATGGGACTCCTGCCCCAAGCTTCAGATCCAGGAGAGAAGTCGAGAGGCTACGGAAGGGTTTGTGCCGTGCCATGTGGAGAAGGGGAATGCTAGAGGAAGGTACCATGTTAGTGTCCCTTATAAACGGACAGGACTGCGTTGCTACTGCATTATTTAAATGATCGTTTTGTTCTATGTCTTAGTTGTTTTTCAAGCAGTAAATGAGGTCATGTGTTAAGGTGACGGCTAACATTAGAGTAATTTGATTTAATGGAAAACAGACGTTTCAGCTCGGCACAAGGTAGCTGATGGAGTATAACCTTTCTTCCTACAAGAATAAACTTAGTCCCGTGGCTAAGTCATTTATTTGCAGGAAGGAGGTTGGTTGCTGTAGCGTTAGGCTGTTACGAGGTGGGTATGTGGGTGGCAGAGGAAGTGCAGGGGTGATGTCTGAGAGACGAATGGTCCGTGCTCTGTCTGCTCGCCCCTTAAACAGTTTCATACAGTCCTGGCTCTGTCATACGCTTGACTCTGCGGGTCCTTTCTCAGCCCATGTTAGTGTCCTATTTCTTACGTGAAAAGGAACAGTCCTTTTGACGTTTAGAGATCGTGTCATTTGTGAAGTCAATACCTGCTTACGGTAAACGGGCTGACGAGGTTGTTTGATGAAGTATGTTTCGCTTAGATTCTGTCCATCTTTTAAGTCAAACTGTATCATCAACAAATTTTAGGAATGAGGGTGGAAAACACTGCAGGGCATCTCAGTGCCTTCTGCAAGAAAGCTCCAGCCTCAGTGATCTGGAACAAAAACAAATCACAAGAAGAAACACCTTTTGGAAAGGTTGAACTGCTTCTCCACAAAGTCCAGAGTATCAGTCCTGATAACATTTGACAGATGCTGGGAGCCCAATAGTTAAATTTTTTGAAGAGACAAGGTCAGAGAGGAGACGAAGCAGGAAAAACGGTCTCAATTTATCCGGACAGAGTGTACCAGCTGTTAGGTTTTACTTGCTCAAGTCTCAGCAGTCCTGTGACAAGACTGAGAAAAAGTCTAATCAGAAGCTGCTTCGGCTTCAGGAGATCAGCACATGGGGGGCCACATCCTCTCATCCCCCCTCCCCAGTAGGGTGCAAGGCTGTCTCTGCGGGACCCTCCAGGAGAGCCAGGAAGCTAACGACCCCTACCTCCAGCAGGGCACCCCAGCCAAAGTCACTCTGAAGTCCCACCCCCGAGAAAGACTAGACTTCTGGGACCCCAACAGCTTTTTTCAGAGAACAGTCCAAAGTATTTACTCTTAATCATATAATAAACTCTGTCCGCTGTAGTTTTGCCGTCCTTTTAAACCAGTTCTGTGTGGGAGTATGAATTTACTCTCTCGTTCGTAAAACAAAATCACCACCATTAAAAAAAAAAAATGCCATTGCTTTTTCACAATTGGTCTCAAAGGCTATGAATGAGAACATTTCTGGGTAAAACACATCTTTTATTCAGGAGGGTTGGGGTTTATTTTTCCTTTTTTGAAGTGCGGAGAAACTCTCTTTATTCCCAAGTAATTTATAAATCTTCTAGCAACACGGTTCGGGTAATAGCATCTTTAATATTCTTTCAGATTGTAAGTTTATGTGAGCAAGGTGGCACATCTCTAGGTACCATATCCTAGAACAGATCAATTCTGTCTTCTGCACAGAGGCCCTTAAATGATCTTAAACAGCTACTTTTCCTGTGGGTACTCCTGCCTCCAGGTTTTTAGCCATTTCCCATACGATTACATGGTTTTAAATCCTTTTACCGTTCCGTCCATGTTTGTGGGAACTAGTTCCCGCTCAACAGCATGCATTTCTAGGCATGAAATCGATTGTGTCTCTAAAGCATATTTGCTAAGTCTCTGAATTAAGAATATTTTGATAGAGGGTGCCTGGCTGGTTCAGTTGCTGGAGCGTGCATAGGGCTCTCGATCTCGGGGTCGTGGGTTTGTGCCCCACATTGCGGGCAGAGATTACTTAAATAAAATTGAAAAAAAAAAGAATGTTTTGAAAGTGAATTAGAAAACATTGTTACTTGAGAAGTTCTCCCACTAAAGGCATCATTGGCAGGACCTCCAAAAACCTCCCAGAAACCAGAGCTTTTGCTCCCTCCTATTGGCAGCCCATGTATCTACCTTAGAGCCTGGGAAGCCAAAGCCCTTATAATCTCCTGATTTTTATTATGTTAGGTTTGTTGTAGGGGCTGCAGATACGAAGAGAACTGTCCGTGAGTAAATTAGAGGCTGAAGGCGTATGGGTGTAAGGAACAGAGCAGTGAAGGGAGATGACTGACATTTCTGTGTTCTTGGAAGGGAGATGCAAGCCGTTAGTTAGGGCTCAACCCGGCAGTTCCACGTTTGACATTTATCCAAAGAAAACAAGAAGATCTCCGCACCCTGTGTCTATTGCAGCATCGTTTACAATAGCCACGATATGAAAACAACCTGAGGATCCAGCGGTGGGTGAATGGATAAAGAGGTTGTGATCGCTACACACAATGGAGTAGTACTCAGCCATGAAAAAGAATGAAATCTTGCCATTTCTAACATAAATGAACCTCAAGGACATTACGCTGAGTTAAATAAGTCAGACAGATACCAGATGCTCTCTCTTCTACGTGAAGTCTGTCTCTCTCTGTATGTATAGGATCATCTTGGAGGCACCGTGAGTGTGAATATTCCGTAAGGTGTAGCCCTGTGCCTCCGCTGGAGGCACATGACAAGGGGTTCTGAGAAGTGTACGATATCTGTGTAAGACAGAATGCTCAACACCGCGTGACTCTCACAGCCCAGCGCTGAGAATAAAGAAAATTCTTGCTTAAAACTCTTATACTATGCAAGTACCACATCTTGATTATGACTGAGTCTTCATTTTCCTGTGTTGATACATCCTTGTTATCATAAAGGTGCATCAGTCATATTTTCCCCTTTCTGTGGGCCCCATTGGCTTTCAAGAGAGCTTACCTCAGGTCAGACCTGTGTTATTTAATCCTCACCACAAGTCAGTGAGGTGGTTACTGTCGTTCCCATTTTAAGGTGAGGAAACTAAGTTTCTTAGTATGTTAAGCTTGCATCAGGGGTTGGCAGACTTCTCGCATCCAGGGCCAGGTCACAAGTATTTTGGGCTCTGTGGGCCGTGTGGCTACTCCGCTGTGACGCGTAGGCATAGAAGTGGACACAGACGACACGTAGGTGTGTGAGCGAGTGTGGCTCATTTCCAGTAAGGCTGTCGGGCCACTGGAAGTTGAAATCCCTGTCATTTTCATGCTCATGAAATACTGTTTTGATATTTTCCCAGCCATTTAAAAATGTTAAATGCGTGGTCCCTGGCAGCACGGGGAGGGCCTGGGCCGGGCTGCAGGCCGCTGTGTGTAGACTCCCAGCTCGCGCTGCTGGTAAACCGTGGGGCCGCGGGAAGCCGAGGCCCAGCGGGGTCCGAAACCCAGGCTTCCCCGTCAGAGGTGGCCTTTCAATGAAGCAAGGTCCGGGGCGCGCCTTTTCATTGTTACGACGGCCGTTTAGTCCTCAAGTAACAGAGGATTAACTGGTGATCTTGGAAGGGGAAGGGGATGAGGGCATCTGGACTGAGAGACTTCTACAGACCATAGCAATGATTACAAGTGACTCAAAGACACTGTCAAAACCACAGATTCACTTTGGCTGTTCCAGCGACCAATGAAATAAAAAAATAACCAAGGCTTACTTTTTTTTTTAAATGACTTTGGGAGACATCTGAATTTACCTCTAGAAGTGAAAAGTGATACCTCATATTTTTGTGTGTGAGCCCAAATGCCTTTTTTCCAGGGATCCCATTCCTCTGGGGTGGATGTGCGCCGTGAGTCACAGGCTTAGGGGAACTTCAAACACCTGCTCTTCGGTGAACAATAGGGCCCACGGCTCGTGTCTGGAGTGTTGTGCGCGCTGTAGCACACTTAGAATCTGCAAAAGCTTGTTGGCACTTGAGAAAAGTGGAAATTACAGTATCTGAGCTTTGTTCTTTGTTCGTTATGGACTTCACAGGATTTAAGATAGTTTCTTAGAGATGATTATTTTAGGTTAATTAAATACCGCCTCATCAAATCAAAGACCCGAGGCAGGAACGTCTTACTGGAGGTTTACTGCTTTTCAAACAGCCATTAATTCTAACAGACACATTTATATTCCTCCGTGCTTGGACACATCTCACAACATGTTGTGCAAGGTTCTGCCCAGGTGATTTCCCCCGAGAACAGGTGTATGCTTGTTCTCTGCCGGAGGCCAGGTTTACCCAATAGCAAGTTCGCTGCAACCATGACCTCAAACCCTGAGCTCTCATGTTATCTTGAGCGATGTCTTCAAGAGTAAAATGTTCATCTCAAAAGAGATTCGTCTAAGAAGTGTAAGTCTAAAGGATACAGCAGGACGGATTTCTAGTGGGGCATTGGGTCACACGTCTTAAAATCTGAAGATACCTGCAGTGACAGGTTCTGCTAGTATTTTGCTCGACCTAAGGGATTGCTAAACAAGAAGCCGGAGTTCTTGTAGCTCTTCCCTTGATTCTAACTAGAACTTTTACATTTGTGATACAGCAGTGGGGAGGACTGCCAAGGCTCTGTAGGCCTCCACCCCCTAATGCCGGTTGTCTCTGTTGGGGTTTGGCTGCTATTAGCATTTGCAGCTTCAGCACAATTACGCGAGGGAGGAAAGTGCTGTCGTGGGCGGCCAGTGAAACACTGTGTCTTACTTCATTGTTGCCTCTTACGTGAGTCGCTAATGGCCGTCAGGAACCCTTGTACTGTTCCATGAGAGACTGAATACCTATTTGCCCGAGCAAACCCAAATCTTTTCTTTTCTCTAGATCGTGATACCATTCTTCAGTCTTTTAATCAAAGATATTTACTTCCTCAACGAGGGCTGTGCCAACCGCCTTCCAAATGGCCACGTCAACTTCGAGGTAAGGGGAGGCCGCGGGGTCCGAGCGCAGGGAGGGTCGGCCCCGGCACACTCCCTCCCGGCCAGGCTGCCTGAGCCGCTTCTGAAGTTCTAGAACCAAGTTTGCTCTCTGTCTGTTGTTTTGTAAGGAAATACCGCTCCTGAGAGCAGAATAAATTAGCCGCAGGGTTGTTATTAATAATTATCCGGAGGGATGTGTGTAGATGTTTACCTGTTCCGCACAGATACCTAGAGCTAGGTTGTATGAGATTAAGAAAATCATGAAGTTCAGTTGGCTCGAAGCCAGAGGGGGAAGAAACATCTGTGGAATGCTCGTGATTTTCGTGACCGCTTTTCAACTCTTCTTTTTCCTTAGAAATTTTGGGAACTGGCCAAACAAGTGAGTGAGTTCATGACGTGGAAACAGGTGGAGTGTCCGTTCGAGAGGGACCGGAAGATCCTGCAGTATCTGCTCACGGTGCCGGTCTTCAGCGAGGACGGTGAGTGGCCTTATGGGCGGAGCCGCCCATCCCCACATCCCCGCAGCCTGCCGTGGGGCGCAGCGCAGGAGCAGCAGGCCTCAGCCTGGCCCGGCACGAACACGAGGCCTGTCTTCTCCGCTCATCCGCCTGAAGAGTTTTCTGTTGCGCAGGGACCACGTGGTGTGCCCCTAGAGTATTGGCCAGGCACTCGCTGTTCCCCCACAAACAGATTGTTTCTGTGTTTAAACATTCTCTGTAATCCTAGCACTGCCGAGCTTTGGGGACACACGGGGACAGTCCTTTGAAGGACGTTTTTCCCCACCTTGTTTGAGACTTGCTTCACTGGAGAAAAAAGGTGTTCTGTTTGTGGCACATTGGTATTAAAAGTGATTTGAAAAACAAGCAAAAACAGTCACTACCTGCTGCTATTCGGAGAACTAGTGGGAATCTTGACCTGTTAAGATGGTAAGGAATTTTAGGCAGAAACAGCGATTGTCTATACTGAAAAAAAATGATGAGAAGAGAGATAAAGTTTATAAAAGACTTAGGGATTTATTCTTTTGATCTTTTATATTCTAGTATCTTGGAAATCAGTGTGTTAGTAATTTCTTGTAGCAAATCGGTGGTGTTTGTGATCATGCCTGACGTGCGTTTCGCACTAACGTTACCCATCCTAGAGGGGACTTGATCGTTCATAACCTCTACACGTGGGATTAATACCGAGCTTTTAAACCTTTGAGTGAGATTCTTTTTGATTTAAAACTAAAGAAAAAAATATTACAAGAATGAAAAACTGGCCTGGAAAATCTGGCTCTTTAGCTAAGAAAGGCTTTTTTAAAAATCAAGGCTAGCAGGAGAGGACCTCCACCCCCATAAAGAACGTGAATGTGAGCCTGTGATAGCATCGTGTGGTTCGCATTTGGAAGCTGTTTCCCCTCATAAACTTCAGTTAATTAAGTGCCTTTTTGGCCCAGAGGCCCCTTGGGTTGGCTTTTTTTTTTTTAATGTTTTTTAAAGATTTTATTTATTTGAGAGAGAGAGCATGAGAGGGGAGAGGTCAGAGGGAGAAGCAGACTCCCTGCTGAGCAGCCCGATGTGGGACTCAATCCCAGGACTCCGGGATCATGACCCGAGCTGAAGGCAGTCACTTAACCAACTGAGCCACCCAGGCGCCCCGGCCCCTTGGATTTTGTTGAGATGGTCAGTCAGGCCAAGTGATATTCTGTGTTCTCACTGAAACCAGGGTGCTTCCCAGTCGTAGATGACATGCTAAAGAGTCTTGCTTCCGGGTTCAGCTGGTGAACAGGGTGGTTGGCGGGGGTGGTGCGCAGGAGAAGGCCTCAGTGTTCACGCGCTCTTACTTTGGTTGATTGTAGCGCTCTACCTGGCTTCCTACGAGAGTGAAGGACCTGAAAATCACATAGAGAAGGACCGATGGAAGTCCTTACGGTGAGTCTGTGCTTCTCATTGCTGTGCAGCTCGACGGGCCGCATGGGACTTACTGGAGGAAAGCCACATGCTTTCTGTAGGACGTCCCTCCAGTGTGTTCCAGTCCTCTCTGCTCCTTTTCTCTTGTCACCTGAATCTTTGCGGCTGAAAATCCTCGTTGCCCTCATTCAGTTTTATGGCCTTTCACTTGTTTATGCTGTCTCGTGTGCGGTGACTCTGCTGTCGCGTGTGCGGTGACTCTGCTCTCCTTCTTTCTCGTTATTTACCACACAGTGTGAATGGTAGAAAGAGAACCGACTCGTTCCTTTCATCTAAGAGATAACAAGTTCAGACTCTGTTTCTGAAGAGTCCGAACACTAAAATTTTATTTGACCTGCGATGAAAGAGACCCAAGTACCGGTTGGTTCAGTCAGTCTGAGTGTGTCACTCTCTCGGCGACTGCATTTTGGTCCCCATTTTGGTTTGAGAGAAGGAGGAAGTTGGGACTTTATCTTTTGAAGATGTGCTTGTTTGAGCGGTGGGGAAGGGTAGAGGGAGAAGGAGAGAGAGAATTCCGAGCAGAGCACGGAGCCTGATGCAGGGCTTGATCTCAGGACACTGACCTCATGACCTGAGCAGGAATCCGGTCGGACACTCCACCGACTGAGCCTGCCAGGCAGACACCCCAGAAGCTGGGACTTTAAACACGATCCAGAAGCTGTTCAAATTAAAGAATTGTGTTAATCTACTGGCATTTTCTAGTAAATGCGTTTTCCAAAAAACCAGGTTAGGTAATAGCTTAATGTATATTTTAACCATTTGAGATATTTTAATAAGTAAAGTAGCCCAGGATATAGTAATCCCATAGTCAAAATTGCTCTATTTGTATTTCTGCTAAGAGACTCTGGGAACATGTGCTTTGTTGTACCAGGCGGACAAGCACGTTTCTCTTCTTCCCAGAGTCGTTTGGGAGTCTTTATCACACTTGATCCTGGGCCACATGTCATGAACCAGGGTGTCTCAGTTATATTGGGTTTTCTGTGATTTCATTTGGACGCAAATGAGGGATGAGGTCCGGAGACTGTGGAATCGTTATCCTTAGAGCACGTCAAGGTGATGGGTGAGCGACTGGTTTCTTTTATTTCAGACACAAACGAGAAGAAGGTGCGGCTGACACGTGGCATCAGGGGAATGTAGCAGGCTTGCGGGGCTGGTGCGCAGGTGGACTGTCACAAACTGGGGGCCTGCCAGTGACATATTCATATTAAAATTTCCTATTACTCTGTTGGGTTCACGGATATTTGGGGCACTCCTCAGTGCTGGGTGAGAACTTTAGGAATGACTGACTCCTTGTTCTCTGCCTTCCATGTTTCTTCTTCTTTTTACTTCCTTTTCTATTTTTTTTTTTAAGAGTTTGAAGTTGATATGGCCCCTGAGTAGGGCTTAGCTCTTGTGACTTCTGTAGATTTGTAAGCACTGGTAAGCCGGGAAAGTGGCCGCACTTACATGACACCTGGCGTCGGCGTTCCCTGTGAGGTCCAGACACGTTAAATAGTCCGAGCCTCCCACACGTGTCTTTTCCAGGCTTTTCTGATTGTTATTCTTTATGCTGTATTCCTCGTGGTTTGTGGTTAGTTGAAAGGGCTCATAAAGTCAGAGCATTGACAGTAAAAACCAAAGACCGAGTTACACAACCTCTTCCCATATCTACATGTACCGGACACACAATATACAGTAATAGTTAACGTTCGATTGGTTGAAATGTGAACAGAGAGGTTAGTGGATAGTTTAGAAATAGGAAGTGAAAAAGAGGGTGCCCTGTACAGGCTTAAATTCAGGGACAAATCCATGAGGCTGCCCGCAGTTGTGCGCTGCTCAAACGTGCTCAGTAGTGACACTTCTGGTAAGCGTTCTCCGAGGGGCCGCCCCAGCCCAAAGAGAGAGAACAGTGTGTGGGGAAATATGTAGACAGACACAGGGAAGATGTGTTCTTCGTACAACACAGTAGTTTCTACATGGGAATTGTTTTTAAGGAGCCTTGAAGAACAGACTTTCACTGTGCCCTTTCCACATCCTGGGTCATCTCAAGCCCCACTGCACTGCCTCCCCGCTCTGATCCGTATCTCCTCCGATGGAGAGCAAGGCAGACGTCTTCCCCGCTTCCAAGCTGACGGGGGATTTTTAGTGCCCTGCTTCTTACCCCGATGACAACGTAAGCCCCTCGAGGGCAAGCACGGGGTCTTCCATGCCTGCTGCGGTGCTGGGCCCGCGCTCCTGCCATGCCGGGGAAGGACGTCGGGTTGTGGCAGGTGTTGGCCACATTGTAGCAGCCACCAAGAGGACAAGGAAAATAGGCCGTGATTGTTTGCAAAGCTGCATGTTAAGTGGATACAAAGGCTAATTGTTCTAGGCTGATAGTACCTACGTGAAACTTGTATCACTCTAACGTAGAAGGCAATCAGGTGACTCCCCATAGACGCTTTTCCTGCTGGTGCCGGCGCCGTTCACTGAGGCTCAGCAGTGGCGATGACAGACATCCCCCTGGGGGTAGACACCTGTCTTGTCCCTGGCTGTTTAAATGCCCTCCGTGGGCACTGGAATGTGCAGATGCTTCTCTTTACGGAGTAAGGCCACCTATGATCCTACCAGTGCAGACGTGAACGTTTCTTCCTCTTTCTAACTCTGCGTAATTGAACTCGGCACCTAGGAGAGGTAGAACCGGTACCGGGCGGGACACTGTAACCCTGACCCAAATCTGCCACCGCGTCCGGTCTCTCACTGTCATCTTTGTTCTTCAGGTCCAGCCTCTTAGGCAGAGTTTGAGGAGCAGGCGCTGACTGTGGCCGCTGCTGAGCCGCGCGGACCGCCGAGGGCTGCCTCTCCCACACCCAGTTCTGCGGAGTGTCCCGTAGTCCCCGCAAGCCGGCCGGCTCCGGGCAGAGGGGACGAACGTCCCACGGCCGACGGATGACTCAGACCCTGGGAGATGGAGATGTTCACGGAAGATGCTTGAGAAAGAATCCTCTACCGACCGGCGCGGCCCATGATTCATCTTCTGGAATTTCCATGTGAATCACAGCTCTGCACCTGGACGGAGCTTTCTTCTGTGTGTGTTTGTGTTTTTTTTATTTGCTTGAACATTTGCTGCTAATGGGACTTGCCCAGCTGAGGGCTGGCTCTTAGGAAGCCCATGTTTCTTTAACTTAAGTGAAAAAGGGAGAGGAGGGAGGGGAGAAAACCTTCCCTGTGGATCTGGACTTGAGCTCCACGGCATTGCCCGGAGGGGTAAGACTGGTTCAGCACGGACTTGGACTTCGGTTCCCCTTAGTGTGTGCTGCGTTTCCAATTCCTCTCCTCCCTCTTCCTGCAACTTTGAGTGGGCTGCTGGTTAGCAAACTCCTTTTTACCCATATAAGTTATTTAATATAATGAAGCTCAACACTATGGTAGGAAAATAGCCACTAGGGAAAAGGCAGCAGACTTTGTCGTCGGACTGCTTGTGTTCTAGAAGGACTGTTTGTTTTCTCTGCCCTTCTGAGCTGTTTACAACTGACCACTGTGTTCTACAGATGTATTTTTCAGTAGTTGTTTTGTTACTTAGTTTTCCATCATGCCTATTTTTTCCCTCTTGTAAATCTAAATTATCTGACTTTAAGAGTCTTGGAAAAAACTCATGGCCTAATTACAACTTAATTTTTTTGAACAGACTGTTATTTTTCATTATGTTTGGGAGTCTGTTGGTGACTAAACATGTGAACCTGCGCCTCCCCTCCACTGCAGCAGTGAAGGAAAACAAACGGAAAACATCTTGCTGTTAACTCAAAGGTCGATCTAATTGTGAAGTAGTTCACCTTGTTAAACATCTCAATAAGCCTGTCGTTGCTCTGCAAACAGCCATCCTGTGTATTTACTCTAGGAGAAACTGTAGAGTAGTAAACCGCTAATGAAGAAAACAAAACATCATGTTCAAAAGCAGAGACGTATTTGAGAACTTAATGACACGGTTTCCCAAAACAGAGCATGTGTGTGTGCTGCACGCCTTCTCCGCAGACCGAAAATGTCGCCAAATTGTCCTTTTACAACCATCAATATATGTTACACTCCCGGCCAGGAGCTGTGGCGTCTCTCTCTTCTTTTATGGATGGGGTCGTGGGGGGCCGGGGGAGGGGGCTGTCAGAGCGATTCAGCTCAGTGACTGGCGTGAGTGTGTCTGCCCTGGAGGAAGGGGCCTGCCGGAGTAAGTGTGTGGACATTTCTCTTCTAGAAAGGGGTCGGAGCAGGTGTTGAATAACGAGCACTGGCCAGGCGCCGCGAGTGCTTAGTGTGGATCACCATCCCCCCTTTTTAGGTGTGGGAATGGGCGTATTAATAATAATAATAACAATAATCTGTCCAAGGCCACGTGGCTATTAAGAGGCCTGGAGATTGGAAGGAGGCCTTCGGATTCCAGAGGCCGGGCTTTGACCCGCGCTGCCAAGCCTTCTCCAGCTTCCATAGGACCTTTCGGACTTGTCAGCCCGGGGATCTCGCTGGGGAGCAGCTTTGGGTTCTGTAGGTCTGGGGTAGGGCGCAGAGGTTGCTAATGCACCAGTCCTGGAACCTGCTGAGAGGAGGCAGACGCCCGGCCATACCGGGCTTTCCCTGGGGAACGCCTCTCCCCGAGCTCTGTGCCCCTTTCCTTGCTGCCGAGGCAGGGGCGGTGTTTTCTCGCGACCGTCCCCACCCAGGGCAGCCCACTGCGGGCTGCTGGCCCAATCTGCCGCGAGCTAACAACGGCTGGAAAAAAATCAACAGAATAAAATTTTCCGATTTGTGAAAATCCTATGAAATTTACATTTCAGTGTCCTTAAAATCGAACGCAGCCATGCTCCTCCGGTCGCGCACCGTCTTGGGGCCGCTTTCTGCCCTGCAGTCTCCCCGCTGCTGCAGACGGCGTGGCCTGCGCAGCCTCCCACGGCTGCCCCCCGGCCGGCCCTGCCCGGAGCGTTTGCCCACCAGCCCCTGGCCCCCCCGCGGTCCTCCTGCGCGTCCCATCAGTGAGTTTGCAGAGACGGCGTGAGGTCTCTCGTGGGGCATGAGGTGCACACATGTGGCTGCTGGAAATACTTTACTGAAGGGGAATTGGCTTAAAACATGGGATGCTGAGTTTTCGCGGAAAGTTGCCATCCTCACACGCAGCCTCTTGTCTTAACATCTAGATAAACCAGGCTTCGGGCGTGTAGGTGACGGCTCTGTGGCGATCACCAGCTCTTCTCTCCGTGCCGTGGGCTCGGACCCCCGGCAAGCTCCAGTCCCACGGGTGTGGCTGGACCGCGGCCTCCGGAAACTCAGCGTGGGCGGCCCTGGCCCTGTCACTCATAGGTTCGGACTCGGGAGGTCGCCTGTCCGGACGCACCACACATTCCGCAGCAGACTCTGCCCTGAGGCCTGGGGGAGCCTCAGAGCAACCTGGGGTGGGGAGGGAGAGAAGAATGAACCTTTTTCCAAGGACGTGTCCCTGGTGTTTGCCCACGGGCTTGGGCTCCCCAGGAGCAGCCTTTCATCTCACCAAGCACCGTCCTCTTTCCCTCACTGTGGGAGGTTTTCGGCTTCACCTGTCCCCCCGACTGGCTCCTGGCTCCGACACCCCCCCCAGTGCCTCAGCCGCCTGGTGCTTTCCTGCCAGCAGCAGCTTTCTGTGCTTCCCTTTCTCTCACCGCCGCCTACAGCCCTCCTGCCCTTAGGATCTCCAGAAACCACAGCCTACCGTGGGGGCCCGTGGGGGCCCCGTAGCTAAACCCTACGGGAATGTTGACTTGTGGATTATTAACATCTTCTGTCTGCTGCTGGGGGACATTCTGTTGACCCTGTGACCTTGTCTCAAAAAAGACAGTGTCTGCCTCTTTCCCAAAGGTGTCTTACCATCCTCACTGAGGGTGCACAACGGCGGGTAATTTTCCTTTGGAGCTTAGGGTTCAAAGGAATTCCTAGATTTGTTGCCTGGGGGGAAACGTGAGTTACCTGGAAAGTAGTAACTAAACATAAAAAACTCAAAGATATTCTGATGGCAGCTCCGTCAGCTTCTCTCTTGAGACATTTTTTTCTTTTAAGATTTTATTTCTAAGTCATCTCTACACCCACCGTGCGGCTCGACTTTCAACCCCAAGATCAAGAGCTGCACACTCGACCCTGAAGACATTTGAAAAGGAAAGATGTTTGCCAGATTTGGACTTCCAGAGTTTCAGTAGAAAATGAAAACTTCCTGGAGAAGTCAAGCCACAGTTTTTTTCTGGATTTGAATGATTGAATCTTCCCCTCAATTGTCTGTTTCACGTAATCAAGACCACTGGCTCCCCTAAAAGCTGACAAAAGACATGTTGGGGTTTGAGGTTTATGCATCCGAACCCAACAGGTCAGGGGCCTAATGTCCAAAACTAGCAAATAAGGTTTGCTTCATGCCAAAAAGATCACTGCCCTAATTCTATATGAAAACTCAACTCCTCCTAAAGGATGTATATATACTTTTTTTTTTTTTAAATGAATGCATTAGCCAACATTTTTGGATTTCTAGGCACCGGTTTTATAGGTCATAATTTAGGGAATTAAAGAGGGGGAAGGGAAATGATATTTCTTAGAATCAAGAAGAAAATGATGTACTTCTTGAAGGGACTGAACCATGAAACACCGTTTGCATTCTTTCCCTCTCTCTGCCTGTGCTGCTTGGAGAAAATGAGAGTTAGCACGAAATCATTCTTGTCTAGACGGACTGCTGTGGGAAAGGAAGGTCAGCACAGTGTACCGTCAACCTGGCTGAAACACGGAGCTGAAGGACCGCGGGCATTGTTAAATTTTTTGCAAAGCAATTATGAAATCTCACACAGGCAGGTGAGTGGTGTGACTTCAGGTGCGCCCAGAAGTGCGCTGGACGCAGGAGCGAGCCGGTCACCACCCTGGTTATTCCAGACTCGCAGGTGTTTGCTTTGTTTGGGTTGATTAAATCCCAACCGCACCTCTAAGACATTTGGATTTTGGAAATAAGTAGAAATTTAAGTAATTCTGTTCCACTCATTGGTCCCCAGAGACCAACAAGGGAGATCCAAGGCACTGAGGTTGGTTTTCATTAGGATGACTCTTAGCTGGTCTGCTAACATCCCCCTCTGTTTATTAGTACCAATAATCATAACAAGAAACCCATCTTTTAAAAATTTTTATTATTTTTTTTAATTTTTTTAAAGACTGTATTTATTTATTTGACAGACAGAGGTCACAAGTAGGCAGAGAGGCAGGCAGAGGTGGGGGGAAGCAGGCTCCCCGCTGAGCAGAGAGCCCGATGCACATTTCATGAGGTCAAGTGCTAAACCTGACCGTGCAGAGATCTGTGGGACTTTGGGGACGTCTCCCTTCCTCTCAGAACCTCAGGGTCCTCCTCTGTGAGCAATGGGTCCAGACTAACTGCTGTGGAATGACCATTCCTGAGCTAAGGGTCTGTGGTTTGGGAGAGCCCTCCTCGGCTTGCCAGGCTGAAAGGCGACTTCGCAAGTAAACACGGCGTCTCGCATCCGGCCGCAGCCTTCTCTTCCTCCCACCGGCCTCTTCTGTGTGTGTGTCCTTGTGTCTGAGGACAGACGGGATCAGAGGCTAATGGCTCCTCAGAGGAGACAAAGGAGTGATAGAAGTTCCACTCACCCATCGGGTCGTGTCCCACACCGGGACAGAGCTCTCTACAGGAAGAGTGACGTTACACCAGAAACCAGAAAATACCCTTGTGCAAGGCCAGTGGAATGATTTCAAAGGTGCCAGAATAAGAAACACAGTTTCTGAAGGCGACAAGCATGACTCTGTGGGTTGGACTAATCATTGCCACAGCGGCTGTTGTAATCGTGCCTGATTATGTGGATAAAATCAGACAGAAATTGCCTGTTCACACCTCGGCACTTAAACACGAGTCACGCTTTGGCTCAGAAGACCCGGATTCACACCAGTGATGATCAGAGCCTGCTCCTGCGTTTTGTCTCGGGCCCAGGGGGCCCTCCTTGGTGGGAAGTGGCAGAGTCTGACTTACCTGTCGGGGGATGTCCCACGCTGAAGGATGCCGGAAGGGCCACACGCCAGTGTCCTGAGGACGGACACCTTCTTTCCTGGAGCTGCCGATGCTGCAGGAATGCTAAGCCAGGGAGACGGAGCCCCCGGCCGTGGAGGGAAAAATCAGAGGAAGATCGCAACAGACACGACCTCAGAAGAGGAGAAAAAAATATGGGGGGAGGATCTGTACATCACAAAGCTTTTGGCAAGTTTAGGAAGACGTGGGATGCGGCAACGTCAGAGCTTCTGAGACACTCGGAGCGCGCAGACGCTAACGGAGCAGTGACGCTGGGACTATGCGGGGAAGCGACAACCTGCTCGCTACCGAAGTATCTACTCGATAAATGATAGAACTGGGGAAGCAGGAGGACTGCTTGTAAGCACAGTCACTTACTGAGCTGAGTCCATACCATCTAATGAGATTCTGGAAAATGGGCATCATCGGTCCCTCTCCTCCCTCTTATTCAAAAATGACCAAGCCCTGGGGCACCTGGACGTCTCAGTCGGCCAGACATCTGTCTTCAGCTTGGGTTGTGATCTTGGGGTCCTGGGACCGAGTCCTGCATCGGGCTCTCTGCTCAGCGGGGAGCCTGCTTCCCCCCTCTCTCTGTTTGCCCTCTGCCTACTTGTGATCTCTGTCTGTCAAATAAATAAATAAAAATTTAAAAAAAAAAGAAAGAAATGACCCAGGCCTTTGTTGCAAGCCAAAGAGAAGCTGACTGGAGTGCTTGCCTCTCCGCCAGTTTGGAGCTAGGAAGTAAGGATAACCCACGGGGTCCTTGGGTGCCCCCCAAAGGCTCGGGCATTGTGAAACGCTTTCTTTCCTTCAGACCAGTCTCTTGGCTCTCACAGCAGTCCAGCCCTGTATGCCATCAGGGGCAGTCAAATGAGTGGGATCCCTTAGCTCTCTGCCCTGACATCTTGTGAGGCAGTGAGGATACACACTTATTACCAAAATATTCCTATACATGGAACTCCCGAGGTTCAGAGAGCTTGGGACATGGTACAAACAGGTCTTCGGTGTTTCTCCTCGAGTTATTCTCTCGGCC